ACATTTGGTGTTGCAAGACATGCATCTCTACTCACAGTATTCATATGTGAAGACGAAAGGTATTGTCCCGCCTCCTTTGGGGGTGTGTCTACGTAGGCAGGAGAGTTCACGTGGCTGCAGCAGAAGCCATCCTTGCCTAAATGGAGGACCAACAGCTGGAAACAGCATGCAACGATGAGTGTGAGGGCTCGGCTGAAGGACCTTTCTGCCCCAGCAGATGCACTAATCAGTCCTACAGTCCCAGCCTTAAAGACATCTGTAACTATTAAATATCTCCAGTGCAAAAAAGGCAGCTCTAGCCGTGACCTCGGCGGAACTCGCCTCCATCTATTTGCCGGGGGTGATTTTGTCCAGCCCGGGCCAGGTGGGGATGTAGTAGCGATGCAGAGTGCCTTCCATGAGCCGCTCCATCCACAACCCCAGGCGGTCCAGCTTGTGGTGGATCTGCAGGGTGGATAAGCTGCGGGACCGCTTGGACCTGCGCGGCGGGTGGTCGTCGCGGGAGCCGCACCTGGACGACCTCCCCCCCGAACCGGCCCCTTCGTCCTCGGACGACTTGCCGTCAGGATCTTCCCCGGTGTAGACGGGCTTGAAGAGGCAGAGGTACTTTTTGTGGCCGTTGAGCGCCAGCACGTAGCCCGTGTAGTCCGCCTTGCGGTTCCCGCCGTCGTCCTCGTCCGCGTCGATCTGCGTGGCGTCCTGGGCGTATTCCAGCAGCGTGAACATCCACTCGCCGTGCTTGTCCATGTTCAGGAAGGAGAAATGCAGTGTCAGGCTCCTAGGAGAGAGGATGAATGTGATGTGGTAAATAAGCAGACAGATTCTTTTTAAACTAAATGCGTTGGGCTTTATTTGTTCCACATGAGGAAAGGTGAATGGTTAGCTGACCCCGTGAAGGAGTAGACCTCTTTGGCAAACTTGCTTAGGAGGATGTTCTTGGAGGCGTCGGTGAGCACCAGCACTATGTTCATGTGTCCCGGCCTCAGTTTCACCAGGTTGCTCATGTAAGTGATATCCGTCAGCTCTGTCACCTCCACAAAACTCTTTTTAGGAGGCCGACTGAAATCAACCACAAAAAAACAGAAGAAGAGCTTAAATACATGATGATGAATCCTGCAGTTGATGAAGCCCAAAATTCATATGAAACTACACTTGTATTCTTGCCTTGAAGCACTACCAGTCTCGGGCGACCCATTCTCTGCTTTTGATCCATCTTTTGCCTTCGGTTTAGTCTGCACGTCTTCACTTGAGTCACTGAAAACACAATAACAAAACGCTTTTCCTGAAGGCGTAAAAGAGTGTCAAAGATTGGCATGGTCACTTTCTTAGGGGAGGCTGAAGTTGCTATAGTTACAGTGGTTTAGATGTATGAGCAAAGCCACCGACCTGAAGGCCTGGATGACCACGGTTCCAAACAGGATGAACAGAGCCGAGAAGATGAGGGACAGAAGAGGCATCATCTCACGCCTGCAAATCATCGCACACGACTTAGTGTGAAATTTTCAAATATGTAATAATATGTAATATTAATCTAAAATGAGTTTTCTACCGACCAGTTGTTGTGCAGAATATCATCAATGACCTCGGAGAGGTAATCGTACGATGCGTAGATCCATCGGATCGCAAACATCTATTGAGTGAGATTGTTGCGTTAAGAGATATTTAACACAGATCAGCACTGCGCAAAACTGTTACTATTTTTGGCCGAAGAGGACGTACAGAGGCAAACTCGTTGTTGAGCTCGGGCAGCACGGCGTCGTGGACGAGGATGGACGGGTCCTTCTGCAGTCGCTCCAGCTCCTCCAGCAGACGCCGCTTGTCTTCCTCGCTGCCGTTCCAGCCGGTCACCGGCTTGAACAGGGCCTTCCCCGCCGCGTTACGCCTCTCCAGGATCACCACCTGAGTGGAGAAAAAAAAAAAAAAGGGTCTCTCGGTTTGTTATTATGAATCTTGACTATTTGTAGCGTGAGCTATTTTAAGGCCCAGGAAGTAGGCGAGATGAGATGTTGGTGAGGGGTAAAGCGGAAACAGGAAAAACACATATAATAAAAATACATATCAATCTTCGGTTCCCAGCAGAAGTGGCTGCTGTGGTGTTGGACCCGTGCGAGTGTACCTGTGCTGATGACTCTGCGCTGTCCTTGCTCTGCGTGAACACGTCGCAAAGCGGTCGCTGCAGCCGTTGGTACACATAAGCAAATCTCACAACTTCCTTGGTAATGGTAGAGGCAAATGAGAGAAACGCGTGGTTCCCAAGAGTAAAGGTCTCTTCGTCACCTGTGATCAGCAGGACACAGTATCTGGGGGGGGGGGGGACGAGGGGGAGGGACATGACGGTTACTTGGCAAATCCAAACTACATATCTTCAAACTACATGAATGATGTTGGTGTTCAGTAGCATCTGACGTGTCAGGTGTGATCAGCTGTTAAAAAGCAAGAGCAAAGTGTTCTCTTACTTCCTGCGTCTGTGGAACTGTTTGACGGGACAGAGCTCATCGAAGAGCTTCTGATTGACCAGCCGCGGCACGAGAAGGAATCTGTTGTTTGACATGAACTCGTCAATAATTTGCTTTTTCATTCCTTTAGCCTGGAGAGGACCAACGTAATCGCATAGAAAAAAGGTGTGAGGCAACGTCGCGGTGAACACTGCTGCGCGTAGATCAGCGCGTGCACAGGGAGCGGAGCGCGGTGGTGTACCTGGATGATGTCAGCGGGCTTGTCAATGTTCTCTTTGAAGACCAGCATGGTCGGAGCGTAGGTGTTGATGTTGAACTCTTTCTGCAGATTTGCCGTCTCTGAAAGGCCCTGGTCCACGTAGCCAAACTGCAAGTAGTCCTTGTAGACAAAAGCTGTCAGCTATGGAGATGCAGACATCACACATTTGGGTTGGTTATGCGAAGACGGTCAGTAGCACCTCAGGTACATTTCACATAAAAAATACGTTGAAATAAAAAGCGCCTACTTTGTAAAGCAGAGGAACTTCAGGCACTTGGTCGAACAGAAGCACGTGTGGTTTGTTGAGCTCGTGCCAGCTGCTCAGGAACTGCAGGTCATTCTTGTCGGTGACCTAAAATATAAAAACATGCACAGTGTTTGGGAATTGTACATGTACCCAACAGCCATTGCCAATCCAAATGTTTTAGTCATCCTCCCCGGGCTGCATCCACTTACCCATTCAACAAGTCTCTGCGGAAGAAGGTCCTCCACAAACTGCCTCAGGTGCTCCTTTGCTACAGCGTAATGGAAAAACGTCACCTTGCCGTTTATGACTCCTAGTATGGACGGCGTGCGATGAGCCCCGAGGTGATTGGCCAAGCGCCTCTCATGGCCCACGTCCACCACGCCAATCCCGACACCTGCAAAGACATCCACGCATCAGCCCCCTCGGCCCGCTGTGTGTAACTTTCAGAGCTGACGGGGCCGCAGAGTGACCCCCCCGCCCCCTGCCGCGTGATTTCAATTCCGGTTCATTCCGAACCTAGAGTCTCCATCTCCTGCACCACCTCTTTCCACACAGGCTCGATGTGGATGCAGCTGAAGCACCAGTCGGAGGTGATCTTTATCAGGTACGGCCTCTTGTAGCTGTCGGGCACCACGTCGTTTACATACTGGTTGAAGTGCAGCGTGTACTTGTTGTCAGCAAAGTCCCTGTGGTGCTTGCTGTTGAAGGGGAAGCTGTTGAAGGACTCGTCAAAGTAAAAGCTGTCGTGGCGGTGGCCGTAGCGGGCGCCGCCGTACGGCTGGGTGTCATCCGTCTGCCCGTAGCGGTCATAGTTGGCGCGTTTGTCTTCGCTGGACAGGATCTGGATTTGGGATAGAGCAGATGTCCATGTGGCAGACGTCGTCCTCTCCTGCACATGTCATCACAGCTTACCCATAGGTACGATTTATCAAAGGGGAATAAATACCAACCTCATACGATTTGGTAATCTTGATAAACATGTCCTCAGCACCTGGATTCTTGTTTTTGTCAGGATGCCTTGAGAAGAAGACAATCATTAGTTGAGGATGGAGGGATGTTCATCCACACACACACACACACACACACACACACACACACACACACACACACACACACACACACACACACACACACACACAGGGTCGGTGTCACGTGGACATGTTTACCATTCCTTTGCCAGGCGCTTATAGACCTTCTTGATCTCCGCCTGGCTGGCACTCCTGGTTACTCCCAATACTTTGTAGGGGTCCATCTCAGGCCCGGCGTGGGACGCTCCCGCGAGCAGCACCGAGAGGACCAGCACCACGGCCACAGACATCCTCGACGCTGCCATCACGGAAACCTTAAACACGTCACAAAGTATCCCCGTCGCCACTATCATTTCAGAGCACGATCAGACCTTTCCTCCATCTCGACACGGTGTCTGGTATTTAGCTGACACCAGCCGGTTTCCTCCATCCCGACGGCAGTGATGGAGACAACCGGGTGGCTTTAATAAAAATGTCACACTAGCGTGCTGACTACAGAAGCAATACGACGCTAATCCCGCGGACACGTCGATCTGCTGTCACATTAAAACGTTGTTCCTCGCGGGTAGAAACGTTCTCACATCTGGGTAAAAACCCCGTAGTTGCGTTGACGCAGAAGCGGCTCTCTCTCACCTTCTCCTCGAGCAGATGCGATCAGCCGCGACTGCGCCTCATATCTGGTGCCGCTTTTGGTGTTTGCCCGCTTGTGGGTTGCCGTTGGTGTACAATGAGCAGGGTGTGTTCACCAGCATCCCCGCTACCTGCTGCTGTGAAGGCAGGACCAGAGGCGGAGGCTCCCAGTGTCGAAAGTCATTTTGGGAGATGGAGTATTTAGCGGCTCGTTAAAAGACCCGTTTGAGTGCGTGCTTGGTTTATTGCGCATCGCGCTCCGTTTTTGGTGTACACGTATTGTGGTACGCTGGTCGTGTTACAGCGGCGCGCGGTACATAAAATCAAGCGCAACCTGTTTTTTTCCCCCTCCGCTGTACTTTCAGCGGACCAATCACAGTCAGCGCTGATGTAAACAAGGAAATGGAAACGTAACAGCTCACAAATACGGTAAATGAGAAAACAACTTCTCGCATTTGCACTGGAACAAGGTATCGTTTCTCTCCGACTGTCTGTTTAGAGACACGCCACGGCTCTCATTGTGACTCGCCTTTCTCCCTCACTGAGATCGTTGTTATTCAATTGAAAATGGAAGAAATCCACAAGAGGATTCTTCAGCGCAACAGGATCAATCTTGTGAGAGACTTGGACCCATCGAGCCTCTATGACGGACTGCTTGAAAAGGGAGTTTTTACCCAAGACATGATCGATGAGATTAAGGTGAGCCGGCTGTGTAGATCAGGTCATCAACATCGAGGTTAATGTGCATCTAATGTACTTTGTTAAATGTAGAACAAAATACCAGAAACAACTAGGACAGGATCAAGGAACTTTAATTTTTTTTTTGAATATATATATATATATATATATATATATATTTATTATGAATATGTACTTAATGATGATAATTCATTTTCATAGAAATAGCATTAATTGTTGTACACTTGCTTTTAATGTTATTTAGTGTGCTGTACAGTATTTGGGTTTTCAGGGTTTCCCCTGTATCTATCCTAGTGATGTATTTATTCAGAATTCAAAGCTCTCGCTGTGTGCCTTCAGAGCGCGGGGACCAGGCGTGACCAGGCCAGAAAGCTGGTGCAGGACTTGGAGACGCGTGGCAGTCGGGCCTTTGCCATGCTCCTGCTGTGCCTCGAGGAGACGGACCAGCACGGTTTGGCAGAACTTCTTCAGCGTGCGGCTCCAGCGGTTCAGATCTGGCCCGCAGCGCCCAATCAGGTGGTCGACCTCCCGGTTGTCCGGCCCCTTCCTCTTTGTAAGTGTGCAATGATAATATGGTGTATTTAATACCAGTATTTATGACATAAGTTTTAAAAAATAGTCCGCATGCGGATACTAATACATTGATCTTTAACTCCGTGGTCTCGTTATAGTAAAAGCTTGGCTCATAATTTGCTCTTTGTTTCTTTTACAGCCCTTTGTACTGATGTTGAACAGCAGGGAAAAGACAACGTCCCCATCTATCCAATACAGAAACCCAGTCCCAGTCCATGTAAGTATTGTGATCAACTAACAGGCTGGTAAGAGTGTAGTAAGTTTATTTTGTATTTATTTTATACTTAACGCATTGTGATGCTCATGTCACAGCCCCTGAAAGGGAGAACACATTAACAAGGCCACCAGGCAGAACTCGACGGGATAGTATTCAGGTAAGCACCATTCATTTATCACGACCTGTTTAGACCAGCAGAGGGACAAAACTTGTTCTTGATCTTTCGTTTTTTTCCCCTCACACGTGTGTGTCAGAGCTATAAAATGGATGCCAGCCCTTGTGGACATTGTCTCATCATAAACAACGTAGAGTTTGAACCTGACAGCGAGCTGAGCAATCGCAAAGGGTCCAACATAGACTGCGACAAGCTGGAGAAAAGATTCAAGGCCCTCAACTTCATTGTGGAAGTGAGGACGAACCTGAAACAAAGAGTAAGAGACGGTTTCTTCTGCTTCCCCTGTTTGAAGCCACATGGAAATGTTTTGAGGTCACGGCTGTAAAAGTAAAACGCTTTCTCTGCATTTCAGCAAATCAAACATGCACTGTCGGCCTTATCTAAGAAAGACCATTCACAGTGTGACTGCTGTGTGGTCATCATGCTGTCCCACGGGACTGAGGTAAGCCATGTCATGTAATCATCACTTTCCTTTTTTCAACCTGCTCAGATTCAGACCCAGAATTTTTATTTATGTTTATGTTTTTAGGTGAGTCACAACCGCTTCCCGGGTGCCGTGTACGGCGTGGACGGACAGCATGTCCCAGTTCAGCTCATCACAAACTACCTCAATGGCCAGCATTGTCCGTCATTGCAGGGCAAACCTAAACTTTTCTTCATCCAGGCCTGCGGAGGAGGTAACTAACATTGAATCTACTGTTGAATAACTAATAAGGCGAAGCAAAGGCAGAATCCACACAATCAAATCAATTTCAGTGGTCTCATTGGGAAGCGTTTGTTTTTGCGTCCGAGGTGAGCGAGACACAGGATTCGAGGTGTCTCCGGATGAGGTTGAACCATCCATCGGCGGGGCAGACGATCAAACGGACGCCATTCCGATGTCATCCAGCAGCGACTCTCTGAGCCTATCCGACGAAGTGGACGCCAGAGCAACGCTGCCCACCCCGAGCGACATTCTGGTGTCCTACTCTACTTTTCCGGGTGCGTTTGCGTCTATGTGTGTCTGTGTGTGTATTTTGCAGTCATGCATACGCAGTCCGAACTGAGACAGATAAATGTGACTTACGCCTCATGTGACAAACACAGGTTATGTTTCTTGGAGGGACACCCAGTCCGGCTCGTGGTACGTCGAGACTCTAGACCAGGTTCTTGAGCAAAACGCTGCTACCGATGACTTGGTCACAATGTTGATGATGGTGAGCGTCTCTTGTTATAGGAGCAGAATTAAGTCATTCAAAGCTTTTGAACCGTGTGATTGTTGGTTGTGCTTCTGTCCAGGTTAACCATGAAGTCTCCCAGAACTCTGCCAAAGGGCTCTACAAGCAAATGCCCGGTTCCTTCAACTTCCTCCGCAAACTTCTCCACTTTCAAACCCACGCCTAGCGGCAAAGTTCAGGGAAGTTGCACTTCCAAGTTTCGCTTTCAGGGAATGTCAGTCTATTTCAATACTATAAGGCAGAGTGATTTCATCAGTAACGTATGAATATGCAGAATCCTGTTTGTATTTCTACAAACCCAATAATGTCTTAATATAAACTTCTCATAGTTGTATTGTGGTGCTCTATTTTTAATAGTTGGTATCTTTTAAAAATGAACTGTTTGGGTGTAGGGCAAATTTCTGGGAGAAAATATTTATGTCCTAAGAGAATGTTTGGTGATTTTTTATATTCTTGGTGTATTTATTGTCAGGTGCCAAAATTTACTTTCAAATTTCAATCATGGTTCAAAACATTCTCTTAAAATTACAAACGTTACAAGACGTTTCTGACTTCATGTCAGGTTCATTTCCCATTTTTACCGTGTTTCAAGTTTATTTCGTATAGTTGTCAAGATTTCTCTTTTTGCATTGTTTTTTATATATAATAATCAATTTTTCATAAAAACAATGGACGATTGTCTTGTGTAACAGGATTCAGAATAAATGTCAGCAGAGTTGTCAAGAGGCAGAGGTCGTCTTTGTAGAATTTTTAAACAACAAAAAGAAACAAAACAAATAACTAGGAGTATCTCCAGCATTTGTCAAATAAACTCCGCTATCTGACTCACCGGGTTCCTCTCCCAACACATCTCCTCCCTGCTGTCTTTCCTCCTTCTCCTTTTGTACCCGCCCCTTGATGAGATGATGAGGTCCAGGTGCATCTCCTGGCACACCTGATCTTGATGATCATGTTTCTGAAATGTGTCTTCCGCTTTAGTACAGCTCAGTTTAATAAGGTGCAGCTGGCTGCTCACACTGTGCTACAGGTGTTTATTGTGCACATAGTTAGACTTTGAACTCCAAACATCAGGAAATGGTGCTTGGGACTTGTGCTTTTTGTGATGCAGGTATCTTCTCTGAGTTTGTTTCCCCCTCCACTGCCACCAGGGGACTCCATTCAAGCAGAAATGGTCCGTCTCAGGTTAGCTAGAATTTGTACCAGACATTGAACAAAGCCTTGTTACAATACTCTCTAATAAGAAATCAGTCTCTATCATGACTTGGTCAATCGGAAAAAAGTTTTGATTAAAATGCATAAGTCCTGGGAATGGCCTAAAAGGGGGAGGGTATAAAAAAGCAAGGTGAATAATTCGGTCATTAAAAGGACAATATGTGTGTAAAATTCAATGACAATTCTGAACAGTTACACACAGTTAACTTTCCCCAATTTCTCTACGCTCTGTAAAACAACACAAATAAACCTTTTCAAATGTTAGTATAAATAAAGTTGAAACTCATAGTTGATAATTGTTGACCTATGAATGCTGAATTAAGAAATTGGTAGAACAGTTTGGTGACTTTGTACCGAAAGGTTTGGTTCTATTTATACACCTAAAGTTTCTTCCTTGTGTAGTTTTCTTTTTTTAAGCTGATGGACATCACAGCGGCATCAGAGTTGCGACATGAAATTATTATAAATATTTGTGCATTATTGTATCAGGCTTTTTACCCCCTTTACCATCCCCAAAATATTCTTTTGGAATAAAACTTCATGCAACCAACCATGTCTGTCTCTTTGCTCTACTAAAACACTTTTGTTGGACAGACCATTGCATACCAACTCATGTGTTTTGCGCAGACTCGTAGGTGCCAAAAGAACGTTGTTGACTGAAACTCTATGTGCTCACATTTTCTTGATCTTTTTACCAGTTAAACATATTGTGATTTTAGTACTCCCGCAAATGTGTTCTTCTCCCACTTGTACTCCCGTTTTCCAAAACAAGTCATGCAGGTGACGCCTCCTCTGCACCGATTTATCTACTCAATTTCGCAATGTGCAAGATTATTAAGATTGGCTGATCTAAATTCAGGTGGTAAATGAATAACAATTTTTAGCTCAAAGAAGCACTGGACTCTCATGCATTTTTAAGAACATGTATTTATTTTAAACGGTGCTTGCCAGTCTGCTTTATCTACTCGTGCAAGATCATCAAGATTGGCTGATCTAAATAAATAACAACTTTTAGCACTTGTATTGTGTTCAAATTTTCTGGATCTGGAGTCACTCCTTCCGCACTGATGACATGTCCCAGGTACTGGACTTGTTTTCTTAAATAGAAAAACACTTCTGAGGCTGTAGTTTCAGGCCAAACTGCTGAAGCCTAGAGAGCTCAAACTTATGATGTTGGAGATGAGAATCAAAGTCTTGAGTACATGATCATATCGTCCGAATAGATCAGCGGTGATTCAATATTTAGATCACCCAAACAACTTTCCATAAGTCTCTGGAAGGTCGTCGGCGCATTTGTCAATCCAAAAAAGACATCAAGTCAAAGTCCCATTGGTGTTGTGAAAGCAGTCTTTTCCACATCTTTGGGATCCATCTTTACTTGCCAGTAACCGGAGGCCAGATCCATGGTGGAAAACCATTTGCCATTGGAAATGGATGTGAGGGATTGTTCAACACGCGGAGGCGAGTACGCATCTTTCCTAGTAACTAGGAACAGGTTCCTGTGATCCACACAAAAACGCAGGGAACCATCCTTCTTACGGACGAGCACTGGGTGAGGCCCAAGGGCGGCTACTCTTGTGTACAATCCCAAAATCTAGCATGCCTTAAAGCACTGAAGGGAACTTTTCAAATGTGTCTATTTTAAACAAATTTCTATAATAGCCAAGTTGTCTGGATGGCTTGTCTTGTGCAGTTATATTTCACAACAAAGATAAGACTTATGCCGCTTAACATTCCAAGAATACACCACTTCTTATATGTCAAACGGCTCAAACAAACCATCCTCTGTTTAGTTAGTTTAAAGTGCTTTGTATCCCAAAACACATAATAATATAACAAATAGTAAAAACAAGTATTTGATTTAGTTATCTTGTACAATTTATCATTTGGCAAAAACAGTAGGAATAGAAAGTTTTTTCAGACAGCTGCTCCTCTAAGCTTCCTGAGGTTGCCTGCTCATGTGTCTGTGTGCTTTGCCAGGATCACTCCGGTGCTCCGAGACAGGATGTCTGTTGTCCCTCATGGGAAGATAATGTTATTCTCATTTTGTAAACCAGCCAGTTGAATAAGAGCCACTGGTTTGTTTTTGACCAATAGACATCGACTGTCCGAGTGTCAAAGTGAATAAATACCGTGTGTCAGTCCCACTGGCCAGTTACCACCGACTTCTGCGGAACCATGATCCATTTCAGCACCACACTCGGTGAGTGTACAGATATTTCTGTTGATGTGGTGTTCAACTTCTAAAATTTCAATGGTAATTTTGTTGCCAAACAATCCAGAGCGTAACTTAAATCTCTTGTGTTCTGCTTTATATTTCAGCACTGGCAGCAACCTTACTGCTTCTAATTCCAGGTAAATGTCTATTTGTGTGTGTGTGTGTGTGTGTGTGTGTGTGTGTGTGTGTGTGTGTGTGAGGACACACACAATGGTTGAACACATTTTTATTTGTTTGTGTTAAACTGCTACTTTCATATCTGTTTTTAGGTGTTGCTGCGGAGACGGTTGTCACTTGTAATGTCGACACTGTCCATCGCCTGAGCTGTGGTATTCCTGACACTCTCTGTCCACAACAGTTCATTTTCATTCTGAGCACAATTAGTTATTAAATGATCCCTCCAAAGCAGACCGAATCATCAAATGTCATCATTTCTCCCAATTTGTTGTGCAACAGACACTGGAGTGATCAGCGTGCAGGCGGCGCTGTATGGACGTGCAGACGCTGAGACCTGCAGTGAGGGAATACCTCAGAGTCAGCTCGCCGATACAAAGTGCTCTCAGGAGGGCACAGTCAAGGTCCTCCAGAGCAGGTACATATCACATGGAATTAAACAGAAATATACTGTTTTTTTTATTTCATGTATTCTAAATGTAGCTAATCAGATTTTCTAAAAATGTTGCACTAGAGAACAAAAACATTTGTATCACAAGCAGCTCTTGTCTTATTTCATGTCAGACAGGTTCTAGCTGGCATGTGCAGTAGTATTGTGTGTATCCTTCCGCTTCCTCAAGGTGACAGTGATTAAATCATGGAAGAATGAGGAAGGAATTATTTACCTGCATGACCACAATTTTGGTTTCTTGGCTTGTACAGTGCTGTTTTTTTCCCTTGTTGCAGGTGTGATGGGAGAAAGGCGTGTGAAGTAAGCGTGAATGTCTTCGGAACACCAAATCCCTGCGTGGGCACCTTTAAATATCTGCAGACCACCTTCACCTGCCTTCCTGCAAGTCAGTCTCATGTGTGCATGAACGCAAAGCAAGGCTGCTAAATGCCTAAACTACTGTCAGACTATGTATAAATTGTTTAATGAAAGAGAAATGGAGATTCCTATGATTTGTCCTATACTTGTTTCCTCTTTTATAAGTTGGAAGCTTTCGGTCCTGCATTGGGGGATTTAAACAGGAGCCAGTATGCTCCCATGGAGTTCAGTCACTCAGCAGTGGGCTGTGATTGAAGGGATGTGTGGCAATTGCCACAGATGTTAACAAAAAAAAAAGGAGTCTTCTGATACAAAATGTGTCAGCTGGATGTTAATAACGCATGTTTGATCTGATTTGTCCTTTTGACAGTTCACAGTGTGACATGTGAGCACTCCTTGACCCACCTGACCTGTGGTAAGATCACATCGTCTCTTCATTATGTGAACGATGCATTAAAATAAGAAAAAGGGAAGCTTTTTTTGTATTATCATTTACTTCACACCATAATGACCTTTTTTTAACTTTCACCTTCCAGAGCTGTATTTTCATTCCTCCTTGCTTGCAACACTTCCTCCTCCTCTTGTCAGATCAAGGGCTGATTATATCCGTCTATGGTGCCACTTATGGACGCCATGACCAGACCACATGCGTCTACGGGCGGCCTGCCTCTGAGACCCAAAATACGGACTGCTCGCAGCCCGGCAGCAGCGTTTCTCAAAGGTGTGTTGATTACTCTTTAGGCTGAAGGCTGCTGAAATAAAAATCATGGATACTAAACTTCATACATGTTCAGCGACAGCGACATTGACAGTGAGTTTGTGACGTCATCCACTTATCACGTATCTCAAGTTTAAGTCTGTATTCTCTCATGTCACTCTGCCTCCACAGCTGCAATGGGAAAAACAGCTGTATCATAACAGCGAGCAACTCAGTGTTTGGAGACCCCTGTCCCGGAACTTACAAGTACCTAGAGGTGGCTTACATATGTGAATGTAAGTATCTCCAAGACCAGTTAGCTGGATTTACACTACTGACTCTAATCTGTGGTCTACTGTACATGTGCAAAGGAAATCATGATGGATTCTTTACCATAAATGCCTAAGTAACTTTTGTAACCCCCAGAAATCTGGCTCTATTCATCCAAAAGTATTCAGTTAATAGTGTGGTTCAATTGCCTCTTAATTTAGGAATCACTGAATTGTGCTAATTTAAATGTAAAGTAGGGTATTTTTGCCATCCTGCAGAAACAAAGCATTTTGTGCAACCATTCACTTAAATATTTATCTGAAGTGAATCTGTTTTTTCTTTTACAGTTCAGACTACCAATCCAGAGACGTCTCTGTAAACATGCTGCAACCACGACAGAATCCCTATAAACATAAATTAAATAAAATATGTTGTATCAGCAGCATGTGGCTTGTAATTATTAACAAAATGCAATGGAAATGTGGACAAAAAATGCTCCACTGTAGTGACCTTTAGTGTGCAATGTTTTTGGAGCCTTCAAGAAGTCCAAAGATAATAAGAAAATGACATTAGGGGATACAGAGTGCTCCAGGAACTCATAGTAAAAAACTAATCTGTACATTTGGCAGACAGAAGAGCTAAATATAAATAAATATTATAGATAGATATGAATAAATCACAAAGAGCTGTCCTTGGAGGAAGTACACGTGAAACACGTGAGAGATCTAAACAATTTACCAGAATGGTTCCACTTCTTGTCAGGCAGGAAATACATCTCAGAACAGGGTGAAGATATCATCTTTCAACATAACCACACAGCGAGTGTTTTGTAAACACCTTTCTTTTTTATTTACTTTTTCCACCTCTCTCCTTGAGCTGTTTTTTGTAATGTCGGTTATCAAATTGAGATCTATTTTTCTCATCATCTGAAGCCACATTAAGTAAGTCAGCGCCGTCTTTCATTGTTCTTACACATTTGAGGAAGATCGAGCTATTGTTTTGAGATGACGACATCCCTTGATCCGGCAGTATAAGTACCGGTGTGTATGTTCCCATTCTCCACATCAGCCTGGATGTCCTGCAGTCATGTTCAGCTTCAAAGTCAGCACCATGCTGTGTGAGTACCCATCTGAATGTCAACTTTACAATAATGATCTGGGTTCATTTATAAGAAGGGATTGAGCTCATTTATCTAGAGTTACTAGTTATATTAGAAGAGAAGTCTGCTCAGACTTACTGTATCAGGTGTAGTATCATTATTTACATTACGTTTTTATGTCATTATCCAAGTAGAATCATTTAACATTTTACAATTATTAGTGTAGTATTTCTTCTTTACAGCAGTGAAGTACTGCATTCATTATCCACATAAACATGTCAAAGGTACTACAGACTCAGTGAATCATGGAAAAGGGCCTTCTATTGATGTATTTTCACTCAGTCCTGCAACATTACTTTTCCAGTGCTGGCATGTTCCATCATCAGAGCAGGTAAATATATGAGTGGATGCATGATGATGATCTTTGCATGTATTTTGGATACATACACGATGTGGCAGGTCAACTAATGCTTTCAAATCCTTTATTTTAGTGGATTCCACGAAGAAAGTTACCACCTGTTACAACGGCGACAATGTCCAGCGCCTGAGCTGTGGTACCATTTTTCCCCCCCATATAAATATATAAAGAAATAGAATGAAGTGATTTGTTTCTGAATTTCTCTTTTGGTGTGCTACAGATACCGGAGTGATCCAAGTGCATTCAGCCCTGTACGGACGTAAGGACAATGAGACCTGCAGTGAGGGAAGACCTCCGTGACAACTTGCCGATACAACTTGTTCTCTGGCGGGCACAACGGCGTTGCTCAAGAGGAGGTACACATCACATGAATAGTGATAGAAAGTAAATATACTGTTGTTACTGGATGTAAAGGCATCGGTTCAGGCTCTTGGTCTGGGTTATGACAGAGTCCCTAAAGCACCTGCTTAAAAACTAACAACTCACATCTGTGATACTCCTGTGTGTGTGCTCTAAATCATCCTGTGTATGTCCCTTATTCACCCTCACACCACAATGTCCCTGTCACTTTTATGTTGCAAAGCCACTGACTTCCTTACCCTCTGTTGTCCAACATCCTCTATTATTGCCTCATAAGACCTTATTTGCACATTTAAAAAGAGCATTTCAGGTAACCACGTCCATGTAAGAAATCAACTGGTGATGTTTGACTGAGGTATCTGCCAGTTTAGATGTTTATCCTTTTCCATTATTAATGTCTTTCCTACAGGTGTGATGGCAAGAGGGAGTGTGAACTGAACCTGAACACCGTTCGTACCTCTGATCCCTGCCGTGGAATCTCCAAATACCTGCAAACCATCTACTCCTGCTTCCCAGCAAGTCAGTCTGCATGAAGCCAACAGTGACAGAAAGCTGCACGTTGGTGTGATGTCTGATTGGTTTGACTTGTTCTTTGACAGTTCACTTTGCTACATGTGAGGGCTCTTTGGCAAATCTCCAATGCGGTAATACATGTTTTTCTCTGTCTTGCATTTTCAATGCATCCAATGTCTCGCTCTTCTTCACTGTGCCAAATGTACTTCCTCATTTTGACAGATCAAGGACTGCAAATACGAGTGTACGGTGCCGACTACGGTCGCCGAGACACCACCACCTGCATTTACAAGCGGCCCGATGCTCAGGTTCAAAATGTCCTCTGCTCAGCCCCCAGCCCCAAAGTTGCTGAACGGTACAGCTTGAGACCCTCTGATAAATATGTGAAATACATCCAGATGTCAAGACACTATTTGCTATTGGCACAGACACATAAATCCAGATGAATTGGAATTCTTGCAAGACGAAAGAAATCAAAATTGGGCAACACAATATTGAACAAAAAGCTTTTATGTGTGTAGGTTTGAATGCATTCCTCACATGCACCGTGGTGTAATCAAACGTTTTTCACCATTTATTTTACTCTACATCCACAGCTGCAATGGGAAAAACAACTGTACTATCAGTGCCACCAACTCAGTGTTTGGAGACCCCTGTGGTGGCACTTACAAGTACTTGGAGGTGGCTTACATATGTCAGTGTAAGTAAAGGTCCATTAGGCTGGTTGTACACATTCTGATGAACAGCCAAATATGTGATGCACAATCCGGAATAGGGGAAAAGGCATCTTACTAATAATTGGTTGCTCAAATAACTTGTCTAAATTCAATATTTTATCTTTTTTTCTGCAGATGCTTAGGTCTCTCCAACGCAGCTTTCAGAATATTAATCTGTGTTAACCGGCTGGCGTCAGTCATAAATCAATAAATATGCATTTAATCAAATATATTTGTCAGTTGCTCAATGTGTTTATTACCTATGAATGAGAAAAAAGGAAAAACAAACAACTGCAGAATCTGGTTGCAGATACAGAATTATACCGCTTTGGAAGTTACATCCATGAAGGTTGTTAATGAGTTGGAGTTGACGCTTTTCTCGGCAGTGAGCATTAGCAGCAGGACATTCTTAAATCTTAGTTAGACATAATCTGCTGCTGCTTAAAGGGGAGGTTAAAATATTATAGGAGCTGTCCTTGGAGGAATACACGTGAAACACGTGAGAGATATAAACATGTACCAGAATGGTTCCACTTCTTGCCAAGCAGGAAACATGATGACATACTCTTTCAACATAACCACCAAATGAGTAGTGTGTTTTATAAATTACCGCCTTTTTTATTTCTCTATTTTTTTATTGTGAGCTTTTTCCACCTCTCTCCTTGAGCTGTTTTTTGTAATGTTGGTTATCACATTGAGAACTATTTTTCTCATCATCTGAAGCCACATTAAGTAAGTCAGCGCCGTCTTTCATTGTTCTTACACATTTGAGGAAGATCGAGCTATTGTTTTGAGATGACGACATCCCTTGATCCGGCAGTATAAGTACCGGTGTGTATGTTCCCATTCTCCACATCAGCCTGGATCTCCTGCAGTCATGTTTGTCAGGGGAGAATTTGTTGAGGTGCATATTGTGAGAGTCTCAAGAACTCGTATGTGACCTTTCTTGGGAAACTCGTGACCTGACCTAGTCTACGATGAAATCCATATGTGGCTTGGACAGACCATATCATGTTCTTCTATTTACCTTTCTCCTGTGTTTTCCTCTCTGTCTAAATGATTGATTTGGTCCCACTAAGGGAGGGTCGCGGAGGTTCCCGAAACAACATCTGGTTACCATTCCTCGAACCTTCAGAGATGTATAAAAGCTCCTGGTTCCCCCCAGAAACTTTGTCAGATCTTCCTGCTCCTTTTGGGGGAAGGAACATTCTGTCCCTTTTCAGCTGAATTGTAGTCATTTGACTTCTGTCTGTACTTACGGCTTGTGTTGATGATTTTTGTATACTTATGATTTTTCCTATACCCTAGCTAGTAAAACACTTAATCAAAAGCGCGTCTCTGATACTTTTGATTTCTCACAAGGCCTAAATCCACAATTTCCACCACAATGTTCAGCTTCAAAGTCAGCACCACGCTGTGTGAGTACCCATCTGAATGTCAACTTTACAATAATGATCTGGGTTCATTTATAAGAAGGGATTGAGCTCATTTATCTAGAGTTACTAGTTATATTAGAAGAGAAGTCTGCTCAGACTTACTGTATCAGGTGTAGTATCATTATTTACATTACGTTTTTATGTCATTATCCAAGTAGAATCATTTAACATTTTACAATTATTAGTGTAGTATTTCTTCTTTACAGCAGTGAAGTACTGCATTCATTATCCACATAAACATGTCAAAGGTACTACAGACTCAGTGAATCATGGAAAAGGGCCTTCTATTGATGTATTTTCACTCAGTCCTGCAACATTACTTTTCCAGTGCTGGCATGTTCCATCATCAGAGCAGGTAAATATATGAGTGGATGCATGATGATGATCTTTGCATGTATTTTGGATACATACACGATGTGGCAGTTCAACTAATGCTTTCAAATCCTTTATTTTAGTGGATTCCACGAAGAAAGTTACCACCTGTTACAACGGCGACAATGTCCAGCGCCTGAGCTGTGGTACCATTTTTTCCCCCCATATAAATATATAAAGTAATAGAATGAAGTGATTTGTTTCTGAATTTCTCTTTTGGTGTGCTACAGATACCGGAGTGATCCAAGTGCATTCAGCCCTGTACGGACGTAAGGACAATGAGACCTGCAGTGAGGAGATACCACCAAACCAACTTGCCGATACAACTTGTTCTCTGGCGGGCACAACGGCGTTGGTCAAAACGGGGTACACATCACATGAATAGTTGTAGAAAATAAATATACTGTTGTTACTGAATGTACCAACCACTATCCATGTATGTCCCTTATTCACCCTCACACCACAATGTCCCTGTCACTTTTATGTTGCAAAGCCACTGACTTCCTTACCCTCTGTTGTCCAACATCCTCTATTATTGCCTCATAAGACCTTATTTGCACATTTAAACAGAGCATTTCAGGTAACCACGTCCATGTAAGAAATCAACTGGTGATGTTTGACTGAGGTATCTGCCAGTTTAGATGTTTATCCTTTTCCATTATTAATGTCTTTCCTACAGGTGTGATGGCAAGAGGGAGTGTGAACTGAACCCGAACACCGTTCGTACCTCTGATCCCTGCCGTGGAATCTCCAAATACCTGCAAACCATCTACTCCTGCTTCCCAGCAAGTCAGTCTGCATGAAGCCAACAGTGACAGAAAGCTGCACGTTGGTGTGATGTCTGATTGGTTTGACTTGTTCTTTGACAGTTCACTTTGCTACATGTGAGGGCTCTTTGGCAAATCTCCAATGCGGTAATACATGTTTTTCTCTTTCTTGCATGTTCAATGCATCCAATGTCTCGCTCTTCTTCACTGTGCCAAATGTACTTTCTCATTTTGACAGATCAAGGACTGCAAATACGAGTGTACGGTGCCGACTACGGTCGCCGAGACACCACCACCTGCATTTACAAGCGGCCCGATGCTCAGGTTCAAAATGTCCTCTGCTCAGCCCCCAGCCCCAAAGTTGCTGAACGGTACAGCTTGAGACCCTTTGATAAATATGTGAAATACATCCAGATGTCAAGACACTATTTGCTATTGGCACAGACACATAAATCCAGATGAATTGGAATTCTTGCAAGACGAAAGAAATCCAAATTGGGCAACACAATATTGAACAAAAAGCTTTTATGTGTGTAGGTTTGAATGCATTCCTCACATGCACCGTGGTGTAATCAAACGTTTTTCACCATTTATTTTACTCTACATCCACAGCTGCAATGGGAAAAACAACTGTATCATAACAGCGAGCAACTCAGTGTTTGGAGACCCCTGTCCCGGAACTTACAAGTACCTAGAGGTGGCTTACATATGTGAATGTAAGTATCTCCAAGACCAGTTAGCTGGATTTACACTACTGACTCTAATCTGTGGTCTACTGTACATGTGCAAAGGAAATCATGATGGATTCTTTACCATAAATGCCTAAGTAACTTTTGTAACCCCCAGAAATCTGGCTCTATTCATCCAAACGTATTCAGTTAATAGTGTGGTTCAATTGCCTCTTAATTTAGGAAACAACAAATTGTGCTAACTAGGGTATTTTTGCCATCCTGCAGAAACAAAGCATTTTGTGCAACCATTCACTTAAATATTTATCTGAAGTGAATCTGTTTTTTCTTTTACAGATCCGACTACCAATCCAGAGGAGTCTCTGTAAACATGCTGTAACCACGACAGAATCACTATAAACATGAATTAAATAAAATATGTTGTATCAGCAGCATGTGGCTTGTAATTATTAACAAAATGCAATGGAAATGTGGACAAAAAATGCTCCACTGTAGTGACCTTTAGTGTGCAATGTTTTTGGAGCCTTCAAAAAGACCAAAGATAATAAGAAAATGACATTAGGGGATACAGAGTGCTCCAGGAACTCATAGTAAAAAACTAATCTGTACATTTGGCAGACAGAAGAGCTAAATATAAATAAATATTATAGATAAATATCAATAAAACACAAAGAGCTGTCCTTGGAGGAAGTACACGTGAAACACGTGAGAGATCTAAACAATTTACCTGAATGGTTCCACTTCTTGTCAGGCAGGAAATACATCTCAGAACAGGGTGAAGATATCATCTTTCAACATAACCACACAGCGAGTGTTTTGTAAACACCTTTCTTTTTTATTTACTTTTTCCACCTCTCTCCTTGAGCTGTTTTTTGTAATGTCGGTTATCAAATTGAGATCTATTTTTCTCATCATCTGAAGCCACAATAAGTAAGTCAGCGCCGTCTTTCATTGTTCTTACACATTTGAGGAAGATCGAGCTATTGTTTTGAGATGACGACATCCCTTGATCCGGCAGTATAAGTACCGGTGTGTATGTTCCCATTCTCCACATCAGCCTGGATGTCCTGCAGTCATGTTCAGCTTCAAAGTCAGCACCATGCTGTGTGAGTACCCATCTGAATGTCAACTTTACAATAATGATCTGGGTTCATTTATAAGAAGGGATTGAGCTCATTTATCTAGAGTTACTAGTTATATTAGAAGAGAAGTCTGCTCAGACTTACTGTATCAGGTGTAGTATCATTATTTACATTACGTTTTTATGTCATTATCCAAGTAGAATCATTTAACATTTTACAATTATTAGTGTAGTATTTCTTCTTTACAGCAGTGAAGTACTGCATTCATTATCCACATAAACATGTCAAAGGTACTACAGACTCAGTGAATCATGGAAAAGGGCCTTCTATTGATGTATTTTCACTCAGTCCTGCAACATTACTTTTCCAGTGCTGGCATGTTCCATCATCAGAGCAGGTAAATATATGAGTGGATGCATGATGATGATCTTTGCATGTATTTTGGATACATACACGATGTGGCAGGTCAACTAATGCTTTCAAATCCTTTATTTTAGTGGATTCCACGAAGAAAGTTACCACCTGTTACAACGGCGACAATGTCCAGCGCCTGAGCTGTGGTACCATTTTTTCCCCCCATATAAATATATAAAGAAATAGAATGAAGTGATTTGTTTCTGAATTTCTCTTTTGGTGTGCTACAGATACCGGAGTGATCCAAGTGCATTCAGCCCTGTACGGACGTAAGGACAATGAGACCTGCAGTGAGGGAAGACCTCCGTGACAACTTGCCGATACAACTTGTTCTCTGGCGGGCACAACGGCGTTGCTCAAGAGGAGGTACACATCACATGAATAGTGATAGAAAGTAAATATACTGTTGTTACTGGATGTAAAGGCATCGGTTCAGGCTCTTGGTCTGGGTTATGACAGAGTCCCTAAAGCACCTGCTTAAAAACTAACAACTCACATCTGTGATACTCCTGTGTGTGTGCTCTAAATCATCCTGTGTATTCCCCTTATTCACCCTCACACCACAATGTCCCTGTCACTTTTATGTTGCAAAGCCACTGACTTCCTTACCCTCTGTTGTCCAACATCCTCTATTATTGCCTCATAAGACCTTATTTGCACATTTAAAAAGAGCATTTCAGGTAACCACGTCCGTGTAAGAAATCAACTGGTGATGTTTGACTGAGGTATCTGCCAGTTTAGATGTTTATCCTTTTCCATTATTAATGTCTTTCCTACAGGTGTGATGGCAAGAGGGAGTGTGAACTGAACCCGAACACCGTTCGTACCTCTGATCCCTGCCGTGGAATCTCCAAATACCTGCAAACCATCTACTCCTGCTTCCCAGCAAGTCAGTCTGCATGAAGCCAACAGTGACAGAAAGCTGCACGTTGGTGTGAGGTCTGATTGGTTTGACTTGTTCTTTGACAGTTCACTTTGCTACATGTGAGGGCTCTTTGGCAAATCTCCAATGCGGTAATACATGTTTTTCTCTTTCTTGCATTTTCAATGCATCCAATGTCTCGCTCTTCTTCAGTGCCAAATGTACTTCCTCATTTTGACAGATCAAGGACTGCAAATACGAGTGTACGGTGCCGACTACGGTCGCCGAGACACCACCACCTGCATTTACAAGCGGCCCGCTGCTCAGGTTCAAAATGTCCTCTGCTCAGCCCCCAGCCCCAAAGTTGCTGAACGGTACAGCTTGAGACCCTCTGATAAATATGTGAAATACATCCAGATGTCAAGACACTATTTGCTGTTGGCACAGACACATAAATCCAGATGAATTGGAACTCTTGCAAGACGAAAGAAATCCAAATTGGGCAACACAATATTGAACAAAAAGCTTTTATGTGTGTAGGTTTGAATGCATTCCTCACATGCACCGTGGTGTAATCAAACGTTTTTCACCATTTATTTTACTCTACATCCACAGCTGCAGTGGGAAAAACAACTGTACTATCAGTGCCACCAACTCAGTGTTTGGAGACCCCTGTGGTGGCACTTACAAGTACTTGGAGGTGGCTTACATATGTCAGTGTAAGTAAAGGTCCATTAGGCTGGTTGTACACATTCTGATGAACAGCCAAATATGTGATGCACAATCCGGAATAGGGGAAAAGGCATCTTACTAATAATTGGTTGCTCAAATAACTTGTCTAAATTCAATATTTTATCTTTTTTTCTGCAGATGCTTAGGTCTCTCCAACGCAGCTTTCAGAATATTAATCTGTGTTAACCAGCTGGCGTCAGTCATAAATCAATAAATATGCATTTAATCAAATATATTTGTCAGTTGCTCAATTTGTTTATTACCTATGAATGAGAAAAAAGGAAAAACAAACAACTGCAGAATCTGGTTGCAGATACAGAATTATACCGCTTTGGAAGTTACATCCATGAAGGTTGTTAATGAGTTGGAGTTGACGCTTTTCTCGGCAGTGAGCATTAGCAGCAGGACATTCTTAAATCTTAGTTAGACATAATCTGCTGCTGCTTAAAGGGGAGGTTAGAATATTATAGGAGCTGTCCTTGGAGGAATACACGTGAAACACGTGAGAGATATAAACATGTACCAGAATGGTTCCACTTCTTGTCAGGCAGGAAACATGATGACATACTCTTTCAACATAACCACCAAATGAGTAGTGTGTTTTATAAATTACCGCCTTTTTTATTTCTCTATTTTTTTATTGTGATCTTTTTCCACCTCTCTCCTTGAGCTGTTTTTTGTAATGTTGGTTATCACATTGAGAACTATTTTTCTCATCATCTGAAGCCACATTAAGTAAGTCAGCGCCGTCTTTCATTGTTCTTACACATTTGAGGAAGATCGAGCTATTGTTTTGAGATGACGACATCCCTTGATCCGGCAGTATAAGTACCGGTGTGTATTTTCCCATTCTCCACATCAGCCTGGATCTCCTGCAGTCATGTTCAGCTTCAAAGTCAGCACCATGCTGTGTGAGTACCCATCTGAATGTCAACTTTACAATAATGATCTGGGTTCATTTATAAGAAGGGATTAAGATAAAGGTAATTTATAGATTTAGGGTCACTTTACTAATTATATTATAACGGTCTGCTTAGACGTACTATATCAGGTATGGGAGGATTAATTATTTTACTTTTATGTACAAGAAAATAGTCATTATCTAAGTAGAACATGTTCATATTTCACAATTATTAGTGTAGTATTTCTTCTTCACAGCAGTGAAGTACTGCATTCATTATCCACATAAACATGTCAAAGGTACTACAGACTCAGTGAATCATGGAAAAGGGCCTTCTATTGATGTATTTTCACTCAGTCCTGCAACATTACTTTTCCAGTGCTGGCATGTTCCATCATCAGAGCAGGTAAATATATGAGTGGATGCATGATGATGATCTTTGCATGTATTTTGGATACATACACGATGTGGCAGGTCAACTAATGCTTTCAAATCCTTTATTTTAGTGGATTCCACGAAGAAAGTTACCACCTGTTACAACGGCGCCAATGTCCAGCGCCTGAGCTGTGGTACCATTTTTTCCCCCCATATAAATATATAAAGTAATAGAATGAAGTGATTTGTTTCTGAATTTCTCTTTTGGTGTGCTACAGATACCGGAGTGATCCAAGTGGATTCAGCCCTGTACGGACGTAAGGACAATGAGACCTGCAGTGAGGAGATACCACCAAACCAACTTGCCGATACAACTTGTTCTCTGGCGGGCACAACGGCGTTGGTCAAAACGGGGTACACATCACATGAATAGTTGTAGAAAATATACTGTTGTTACTGAATGTACCAACCACTATCCATGTATGTCCCTTATTCACCCTCACACCACAATGTCCCTGTCACTTTTATGTTGCAAAGCCACTGACTTCCTTACCCTCTGTTGTCCAACATCCTCTATTATTGCCTCATAAGACCTTATTTGCACATTTAAAAAGAGCATTTCAGGTAACCACGTCCATGTAAGAAATCAACTGGTGATGTTTGACTGTGGTATCTGCCAGTTTAGATGTTTATCCTTTTCCATTATTAATGTCTTTCCTACAGGTGTGATGGCAAGAGGGAGTGTGAACTGAACCTGAACACCGTTCGTACCTCTGATCCCTGCCGTGGAATCTCCAAATACCTGCAAACCATCTACTCCTGCTTCCCAGCAAGTCAGTCTGCATGAAGCCAACAGTGACAGAAAGCTGCACGTTGGTGTGATGTCTGATTGGTTTGACTTGTTCTTTGACAGTTCACTTTGCTACATGTGAGGGCTCTTTGGCAAATCTCCAATGCGGTAATACATGTTTTTCTCTTTCTTGCATGTTCAATGCATCCAATGTCTCGCTCTTCTTCACTGTGCCAAATGTACTTTCTCATTTTGACAGATCAAGGACTGCAAATACGAGTGTACGGCGCCGACTACGGTCGCCGAGACACCACCACCTGCATTTACAAGCGGCCCGCTGCTCAGGTTCAAAATGTCCTCTGCTCAGCCCCCAGCCCCAAAGTTGCTGAACGGTACAGCTTGAGACCCTCTGATAAATATGTGAAATACATCCAGATGTCAAGACACTATTTGCTATTGGCACAGACACATAAATCCAGATGAATTGGAACTCTTGCAAGACGAAAGAAATCCAAATTGGGCAACACAATATTGAACAAAAAGCTTTTATGTGTGTAGGTTTGAATGCATTCCTCACATGCACCGTGGTGTAATCAAACGTTTTTCACCATTTATTTTACTCTACATCCACAGCTGCAATGGGAAAAACAACTGTACTATCAGTGCCACCAACTCAGTGTTTGGAGACCCCTGTGTTGGCACTTACAAGTACTTGGAGGTGGCTTACATATGTCAGTGTAAGTAAAGGTCCATTAGGCTGGTTGTATACATTCTGATGAACAGCAAAATATGTGATGCACAATCTGGAATAGGGGAAAAGGCATCTTACTAATAATTGGTTGCTCAAATAACTTTTATCTTTTTTTCTGCAGATGCTTAGGTCTCTCCAACGCAGCTTTCAGAATATTAATCTGTGTTAACCGGCTGGCGTCAGTCATAAACCAATAAATATGCATTTAATCAAATATATTTGTCAGTTGCTCAATTTGTTTATTACCTATGAATGAGAAAAAAGTAAAAACAAACAACTGCAGAATCTGTTTGCAGATACAGAATTATACCGCTTTGGAAGTTACATCCATACAGGTTGTTAATGAGTTGGAGTTGACGCTTTTCTCGGCAGTGAGCATTAGCAGCAGGACATTCTTAAATCTTAGTTAGACATCATCTGCTGCTGCTTAAAGGGGGAAGTTAGAATATTATGAGCGTGTGGTGACACAAATCCTCCAGTATTTACGGAGTAATGTTGTTAGGTTAAAGTTGCTTTGACGAAAATTTAAGAACTTTTAAAGTACTTTTTAGTAGACAATTTGCCTTCAGTTGTAAATGATACAAAATGAGTCTATTTAATGAGAGTTTGGCATATTTATCGTGTTTTCAGGAAGCAGCAACAAGATTTAGGAACAGCAAAGCATTCGATAACACATTTGCCAACAAGCAGATTTCCTGTGGCCCCTAAGTAAAGTAAAAAGGGTGTTATTTAGTTGCATTTTGTCAAACTTCAGCTGGAACGTCCCATAGCTTTTAAAATGACTTCATCTCAATAATACAGGTTACAACGTCTACCACAGCACGGTCACGTTGCTAATGTCGTTGCAAAGGTCGGTCTTTGAGGGGTAGACAACTTTCAGGTTCCCGTCCTGGTCCAGCGTGCGGACCTGCTGCACCGTCAGTTCGCTGGAGGGCTCGCCGCTGGCGGCCGGGTCTTGTGGGCCGTCCCCTTCCCCGTCTGACCCCCCAACCTCCTCCGGCTGCTCTGCAGTGAACTTGTTCAACTCTGCCATTTTCTGTGACAAAACAAGAAAAAGCGCACTGAATCGTTTAGGTCTCTTCGGCAACAACCTCTTACTCCTTTGGGAGGAGAAGAGAGAAGAAGTGAAGCTTACCACGATCAGAGCGTCCATAACATCTTTGCAGGTCTGCAGGCTGACTGCGCTCGTCACCTCCAAGAACAACTCTTTGGTCGTTTTCTTGATCTGTAAAAACACAAATCCGCTGACCATTCAATCGTTTCTGTTTCATCATGAGGAGACAGAGACACGCTCAGTAGGACACGGGTGATGTCAGATGATCTCCACCAGCGGATCATGCGGACGCGTTTGCGGCTCTTTCTGTCCAGGGATGATCTCGCGTTCTGCAGCAGCAGCAAGGCGCATACGGTAATAGTTTGGGCGGCCAGTTACGGCTGCATGCTCAAGGACCTATTATGGCTGAGGTAACTAACACTTGATATTGCCTTTTTTATACCGGCGTAGTTCTCTGCAACTGGAGTAAGTGTGTCACTCAAGTGCGGTTTAATCAAGGCTAACTGGTCGGCTACATCAGTAGTTGAGGGGATCTGCGCTCTTCTGGCTGCACTTTAATAGTTAAGTTCAGTTTTCTTTGGGTTCACATTTCCACCATAAAGAAGTCTTCCTTCATTGGAGAACCAGATTATGAGCACCAGAAGGAAAAGAGATATACACACCTTTGTTTTCTCACTGTTGGTAATAGGTGGGAATGAGATCACATGTCCCTCTGCGTCCACTATGCAGGGATACATTGCTTTTCCCTGCAGAAGTTGCAGGTACCTGTACAAAATTAAATAAGTGACTTTATAAAAAATAAAAAAACGGGTTACGGCAATGCAGTAGACGCAGATCTAGTGATATTATTTCAATGATACATTTGAGAATGATATTATTACGTCTGTCAGCCGTCACACAGCAAATGATCCATTTCAGATGGTGCGTGTGACACACGGCTGGTCAGGTAGTTACTTTGTCTTCCTGACTGTTCACAAACTAAATGGACATTACTCAAGCTTGTGATACCTTATGTGTAACAATCCATTGCTCATTCAACAAGCAAGTTGAAATAAATTAAGACTAACGCTGTGGTCGGACATACTTCTACTGCCCTCGTGTGTTCAACCAGAAGTCAAACAGATGTCTTGTATAGCAGTTAAACCCTTTGTGTCTTTACCACAAATGGTTTTGACCAACACTTCCCTCCCGCTAACAAAGGGTGGATCCTTTAAAAAAAAAAAAAAAAAAACACCAGAAGAGCCCATGTTGTACAGAAGACTCGTAGGTTGTACTGACTTGTGGAGGCCAGTGACGTTCTGCCTCCTCTTCTGCTTCCGCAGCTCGTCGGCCTCGACCTGAAGCTGCCTTATCAGCTCGACGGCCGTCATCTCCTTGCGGCCGAGCGACACGACCTGCCCAACATTGGATTCATCACCTTTTGTGAGCTTTACTGTGACAGTTACAATAGGCCACAGAGCGAAAAACCACCTGAAGATGCCACGAACTCACACAAGAGTAAATGAAAACGGGTTTACTTCAACTCTGGCCGGCCCAAGCTAACCGGCCTGCGTTGGCCTACCTTCAGCTCGGTGGGTCGTTTCACGCCATACGTCAGCGGAGCTTTGATGAGCTGCACATCATGAGTCGCAATGGTCGCGATGGTCCTTTTACCGCACAAGTCATCATGAAGCTTCGTCTAGGAAAACAGGTAAATCAAAATGATCTCAACGGGTTGCGCACCCACTAAAATGGTGCATTGCATACTCCCAAGCGGGCATTGTGAGGCGTCGAACTTACTGAGACACCAGGAACCGCTTGAGAGCGTTGCCAGCCTTTAGGTTCATGCCCGTGACCACGCAGCACACCAGGTACGGTCGAACATCTTTCACCTCCGCACTCACCGTGACGGAGAGGGCAGCGGGGCTGTCCGAAACGTGGAGAACCCTGACCACCATCTTGTTCAGTTCCTCCACCTCGTCTTGTTGATCTCCCACCTTCTCCTTCTTCTTCCTCTGCTGCCTTTTGCCCTTGTCCGCCCTGCGGCCCCCGTCGGCTTCGCCTCCTTCCTCTCCTTGTTTTCCTTTTCCTTTCCCTCTGAGGTAGTCGAGGATGGACTTGGTCTGACAGCCGTTGACCATCTTCTCCAGCCGCTTGTCGCTCAGCTTGTTGCCTTTGAAGTTGATCTCCTTCAGCTTGGCGCAGTCGCTCAGCTCGGTGGGGATCTCCTTCAGCTTGTTGTTGGAGAGGTCCAGCACCTGAGGAGGACGGCACAAAGTGCAGATGTTGACTTTGACTCGCTGGGAAAATACAATCGGCTAAGCTGGCAGAGCATGCTCACCTGCCTGCCTGCCTGTCTGTCTGTCTTGTGCGGGAGCTTACCCGCCAAACTAGGCTTCGAAATGTGACATTTTCATGTTGGATCGCATATTAGCAAACGTGGAAAGCAGTTAGCTGTAACCACAGATGGTACACGCAGCTCCCCGAAGGCCGTTTCGAAATTCGGTCTACATTTGATCCCCCCAGAGGAACATCTCTGGCAGAAAATCGCCCCGAGAGGCAGTTCCACCCACCTTTATAGCGGCTAGCTTGAGAACATCCCCGCTCAGCTGCTCGATGCGGTTGTCCGAGGCGATCAGAATGCTGAGCAGCTCCAGCTTCTCCGAGTAGAAGTCGACGGGGAAGCCGGCGAGGCGGTTCTTGGAGACGTTGATGTTGGAGAGCTTCGCGCATCGGCTCAGCCCCTCCGGCAGAACTTCCAGGCTGTTGCAGCTCACGTTGAGGGTGGTTAGCTCCTTCATCTGAGTGACTCCCTCCGGCAAGCTGCTGAGGTCGTTGGCCGACAGGTCCAGCACCTTCAAGGACCTGAGCATCCCCACGACACTCGGGACGGAGGAGAGCCTGTTCCTGCACAGGATGAGGCTTTGGAGGTTTGTCAGGCGCTGGATGTCCTCGTGGATCTCAGTCAAGTTAGGGCACTGGCTAACTTCCAGATAATTCAGCAGCGCGAGGGAGTAGAGAGCCGGCGGGAGCCCCCCGGCCGAGGAGATCCTCTGGTCGAAAGCGGGACCTTGGAAAACTAGTTCACGCCTCTTCTCTGTGGCTGCTTTCTCTATTTCTGGCCAATTCTCCATGTCACCCATGCTTGTCGGCTGTGGAGCAGTTGGCAAGATAGCGGAGACAATGAAATGGATCCAAACCCGGTTTTAGATTTCAAAATAAATGTGCACTTTTTTTACATAATGGTTTGTGGATCATACATGTGGCTCTGCCGCAATATATCAACCGATTATATCCGTCAAATTACTGGAAACGGATGATTACTTCTTTGAAAGCTTCAATTATTGCCGAATTGCTATCTTTCATTATAGGGCCTGAACGTTTCTTTTTAATTAGTAGCATTTATTGTTTAATGTTTGTATCACTAGTCTTACAATTGCGTACTCCTGCAGATTTGCAGCCATATTGTAGGACCTTACCAGTCAACGAAGTTACCTTTATACGCTATGACTTTATTTTGGAGACAACATATTTGGCTTCCGGTCATCTCCGATTGACAGACACGATGCTCCCTTCCGCCGCAGGACAGAGAAGAAGTTATGAACACGTATTTAAATATGTATACTGAACGCTTATCGATGTAACAGTTTATTCAAAATATAAGTAGACATATTATACAATCGGGGGTTGGTCCAAGTAGATTTTACTCAACCGAATAGTCATTAATATCTAAAACAACTTAAACGCATGTAAAACTACATGTACGACAATCCAGTGCGAATGACGACGGTTCCTCTACTGCGCATGCGCGGCCGAGTGTTGTCAGCGGTGGTTATGGAGATGGGTCTACAACCTGTCAATAGCACTCCAATGTTCGTGGTAAGATAATATTTTCCATAATCGCAGGAAAACGGCCGATTGCTTTAAAATGTGTACCAACAAAATACAGCGCGTAGTGAATGACAGTTGTCAGGACAATTAGCTGGTCAAAAGGCCTTTGAAATACAGCTAAAGTGACTGAAGACCAGCTAAGTTGGTTAACCGTTAGCTAGTTAGCATTAGTGCCCAACATGTTGCACTCAGTGCGGAGGGTTTATCTGCCCGCCTCCCCCCGATGCCCCTACCTAATGGCGGTTGTGTATAACATATAAATTATCATTTTCCCCGAGTATATGGAAAAATAAACGCCAATGCACTTAACCGGACGTTTGATATTTCCATTGTCCCGAGTAACGTTAAATCCTTCAACAAATATTTAATCCTTTAGCATTCGCCATACGTGTACACGCGCACATATTCAACCGTTACAAAACTAACCATTGCTCGTACTAACGTTATACCTTTTTATTGTAACGTATAAGTAAGTTATGGATTGGAATTAACACATATGTGGTTTCTTATTGTTTTTTCCTTAAGAATGAGTTATTCTGAGTAATGTTAATGTGTGAGTATCTAATAGGGACAATCTGCGCAGATATTAAACGCTGTTCTTCAGTCATTAACAGTATTGTAATATTGACACATTTAAGTCGATAGTGATACGTAGACATGTGGAGGATGCGGGTAACAATTAATTTGTCTCTCATTTCCAGTAAATCAGCTCTAAAAAATACTATTACAGCCCTATGGAATTGATAAATAAATTGGGCAATCTCGCTCAATACCATATTTAACTTCAATCAATTAAATGCGTTTGCTCTTTTCGGATATTAAATAGCAGATGCATTTCTTTTTTGTGTTCTTTCAGTGTACGTCAGAGGGATGCCCCGGAAGATAGGATTCATTGTGGTCAACTCTTCAAGTCATGAGGACAACTTCAGTGCTAAGGAGCTCATGGTCCATGCACCCACAGTCAACGGCTGGAGGTCTAGCAGGTAAATACTAATAATAAGAAACTTTTTTAAGGCTTTTGTTCGACGAGAAATCCTGAAGCTGTAGTCCGAATTCAAATATTTTGGAATAATTCTAGATTTTAATCTTTCATTTAAAATGAAAAAAAGTTAGAAATAAGAAAATTAGCAAATAATACAATATTTTCAGATGATCATCAGATGATATCTGGTCTATATTTATCCTACCATAACCTTATAACAGTTAATTCATTATTTTTACTTATTTGCTACTTTTGTAATACACCTACATATTTAATTGTGCTGTATTGGCTGTACTGCCTTGACCTAAAGTGCATTGATGAAATTTAGCTCTCTTGCTAACTATTGCACATTTACAATGAGTGGAAACACAAAACATTTATTATCGTAGACCGTAAATACATAACGCATTGTATATAACCACAGTGCTTCACTTTCAACAACATTAAACATTTATTCTATGCAGTTTTACATTATTTTGTTTCTGAAAGCAACACAACATTGTGGGGATCAAATATTCCGCAGGTTGTGCTGCTACCCCCAGTACGTCACCCTACAGCTGGCGGAGAGAAGTAGGGTGAGGAAACTGCAGCTTCTGGGCCACCAGTACCTGATCCCATCCAAGGTTGAGTTCCACATTGGAGACACCCTCCCTGAGTCCAGCAGCTCGACGTTCCCTGGGCAGCTTCGCAGACTCGGGTAAGACTGCATTTGTCTACAACATAATAGCACTATCCTTTGTGCAATCTAAATCTTTTTGTGTAAACTACAGATTACACATCTATACTGTATTTTTCAGGATCAATACAGCATCACAAAATGTAGGAATGGATTTAAGTCTTGTATATCTGCTGTGGAGTTGAACTGAAGAGCAACATTCTACCACCATTGCAGGTACGTGTCTTTGTCAGAAAATGAGAAGACAGGCTTCCAAGCACGGGAGCTGAAGTCAGTGCACGTAGACGCCATCGGAACGTATCTGAGAATCACCTTCCATAGGAACCATGTCAACCATCACAATCACCACAATCAGGTAACAATGCAAATACACCATCGGTTGAATATCAACAATGTTTAGCTGACACAGAAACTGTGAGTGTTGTTCTACTTTCCTATTTTTAATGTATAAAAAAAGAAATAAACAACACAATCATGTTTAAAAGGAACTCACCAATAACAGCAGCTCTAGCCATAATAGACACATTTCCTCCAGTAATTTACAACATATAGAAGTTATCTTCTTTATTGAGTGACTGCTCATCTTGCCAATTATACCCTCAACTTCATTTGCTTTTTCAATGTCAAAGTTTTGAAACCCTGTTAATAGATTACGCTGTTTTAGGCTGGTGTTCTTTGCAACAGCAGGTTGGTGTATGTGGGATTGACCCAAAACGTATTACAGTGTGTGTTCCTCAACATGTTCCCCAGTGTGGCTCCTTGATGAAAGAAAGGGAAAAGTGAGGCTTTGACTACACCAGCACTTCGTTATTCCGAATAGGAGAATAGATTCTTGTTTCGGGGCTTTTCATGTGAATACAAAACATGGAGCGGCCTTGTACCTCAAACTGGGGTGAATTAGTTCCACTATTGAGCTCCCGCCACTCACATTTTTATTTAACCACTTCACCAACACCTTTTTATGATTTCAGGTCGCTTTGGTTGCCATTAATGTTCTGGGAGATTCTTCGGATGGCAACGCCTTCAACACAATTGTAAGTTCTCTTCAGCTGTCCCTCGACCCTGTACTTACATCTGCACAGCACTAGGTGGCGCTTTGCTTCTGTGAGACGTTGCTGTATTGTCACCAGTCAATCAGAACACTGTTGAGTGATGTTTCTTAATCCTTCCTCTGACATTGCAGACATGAGCATGTCAACAACAAGTATTGTACGCCATTCATTTATTCCTAATATTGATACTGGGTTCTGAATATCTTTTTTTTTCCTGTTATAATATGCTATTTGCTTCATGGAAAGTTGTGCATGTTCCCTCTTATGTGTTTACATTGCAAAAAAAAACCAATACTAATAATTCAGAGCCATTGAAATATATGAATAACGGATAGCTCCTTATTGAATTTGCGTGTAGATTTTGAGGCGATATTAAAGGGGGATGAGATTATTTTCTGAGAAGGATATATGGGACTGTACCGACATCCTATGTAGTATTTACTTACTCGTGTTTACCTGAAGGGTTAGTGTGTGTAGGTGCATGTATAAGTGTCAGGAATGTAGTAATGAGACACAAAGGGAGGGCAGTATGTAATCACACAGGAGGCCTTTAGTTAGCCAGCGTAATCAGATAGTTCCGCAGACGGACAGGTCCTGGATGAGAGAGAGCACCTTTAAACACACACACACACACGCGCGCACACAAGGCTCAAAGACATGGAGAGACAAGGACACAAACTTGCAGAGATTCCAGCAAACAGGCTGTGCATTGTTGCTCCACTAATCCGACTCGGAGCACCTCCACCAGGAGCAATCGCGCCTGGAGGGTCGGCTGGATCCTGTTCTCTTATATTCGGTCATGGCAGAGGGAGTTGTGTTTGTTTTTCACAAAAATCCTTTATATGATGCAGATAAAGTGTAATCTGATTTATTTTTTTGGACTTTTTTGGTGTATTTTTCTATGTGGTTACTGACCTAAGGCAACTGACGCAGCAGACGCGTTTGACTTGCCGTGGTGGGAAAAACACAGTTGTCACTAATAACATCGCCGGCTTACATCACACCAGCACCCTGAGGCAGCAAAATGGAATTCTCCCATCACACGTTTTCATAATTTACACCGTGTGCTTTCTCCTTGATATACTAGGTATAGTGGTAGAAGGCGTAGGGGTGTCTTTTATAGTTATATGTGAGTTTTGTGAACTTTGCGATGTACTGTGACGCTGGATCATTTTCACAGCACACCGTCACCGCTTTCCTATGAGGGCTTTTTACACAAAAACTTTTCCACCGCCTTTATTTGTCTAAAGTGACAACGAAGGAACCTTGCAGTTAATTCTTTTATATCTCCATTATTCTTTTTTAATGGTTTGCAAACCGCAGACCAAATTTCATACGCCTCAATTATATTGAAATAACGACTCTTCACATTTGTGATTTACATATTAACCGGTAAACTAGGTTTGAAAATGACACATGACAGTTTGTGTTTATTTCCTCCTCACTGTGTCCCTGTCTATGGAATCCGTAGATACTTGGCTGCTCTTTGCCCTCTATGAACACATGTTAGCTTCTCCTTTCAGTCAGAATAATTACATACTGTATGAATAGATTAGTGTGCAGTAGTTCCTCTACTGAATTCTGGCTAACAGGAAGTTCCTGGTATGGAATGAAATCCTGAGTAAACACGTCACCTGTTTGTAACGATTGCACACAACACACACACACACACACACACACGCACACACGCACACACAGTTCCGGTGAGATCAGAGTACGCAGCAGACTACAAGTCTCCACTAAAGGCTTTAGCCTCCAAGCACAGTGATACAAGAGAATAAATGCACGTGTGTGACGTTTCCCCCATCTGTTTACCCCCAGCCAAGCAGAGAGCAGCTGATCGAACAGTACCTCAACAGTACCCAGCTGGAAGCCGCCTTGGAGACGACCTTCATGGGGTGAGGCTAGGCCATTGAACCCTGGTTTCTTTGTCTTGTGACAATAACATTGTTCTACAAAGCCATTGAGTGTGGAGACCAACCAATGAGGCGTTCAAGGTCACGCACATTTGAAGACAATGCAGGTGGCGGCCCACACAGAGAGAAAAACATATTTCAAAATATTCCTTTACTCTTAATTCTAATATCAACCCCCCCCCCCCCCCCCCCAGAGGACGTTTCACCTCAGGGGCTCCACTCCCTTGGGGGGTCGATCCATGTTTTTCCCCCTTTGATCAGGATTTGCACAATACTGAGCCCATTGACTGACAACAACATGTTTTTCTGATCTACTCTGGGATCATCAGCTGTTCTCAATATTCAACATGTTTCACGAGTGTAGCAAGTTCAGACCCGACGCGTAGAAAGAAATGTTTTAATGTCTCCCTGTTCCGCTCCCAGTAAATGTGAGTCCATCTCCCCTTTGGACGACCTGGCCTTCGACATGTACCAGGACCCCGAAGTTGCCAACATCATCCGACTCCTGGACCAAAAGAAGCAGGAGATGGTCCAGCGGGAGGAATACGAGCAGGCCAAGAATCTGAAGCAGGCCATCGCAGACCTGCAGAAGGTACCGCCGGCGCTGGGAGGGGAAGACTGGGGCCCAGCAAATACCAGGATGTGCTCTCTGTTTGAATTGCTTTTTTGGTTAATTTATTATCATAGATGTTTAAAAATGGCTTAAATACAGTTAGAAGATTTTTTTCACGCTAACCTTAACTAATTGCCAACTATACTGACCACTAGGGGTGTAACAATTCATTTTAACAACGATTCGATTCGAATCGCGATTCATGGTTGCCGATTCGATTCATGGACGATCTGGGTTGATTTAGAACGATTCGATTCAGTGACTTGAAATCGATTCAGTAACTTTACTGGACATTCCAGGCAAAGTTTCTGAGATCCCTGTTGTTTCTTGTAAGGAAATCAGGTTTAAATTAATTATGGATATTATAAACAAGCAAACAACAATTAATGGCAAATTTATTAACCTTTTATTTGAATCAAGTGCCATTTTCAATGTAAACATTACACAATAATTACACAATGTTTGGATCAATTCACAGAATTTTCAACCACATTGTAGGGTCGCATGTCTTTACAGATAAACTTGGCAATTGTTGCTGTGATGTTGAGTTTGGTGCTGGCGAGGCCTGAGGTGTCTGCAGAGCTGCAGTTACCTGCTGCTGCTGCAGCGGTGACGCTGCTAGAGGTCCTGACTGTCGCTGTTGTTCAATCCCACGGCGCCTTAGTAGATGGCCGGAAAGATTCGTTGTAGTGATGTCAGCCAAACTGCAATTTCTCCAAAGATGCACAACAAAGAACAGCTTGGGTGTCTTTGTCCATTTGTTGTTACAGTACTGTGTCACGACGGCATAAACCAACCCTGTTCAAAGTATAACTTTATTAACAAGATTGCAATATAGATTATGCTAACTGTTACTGACATGATCTGCGTTTCTCGGACGTGATCGTTAGTCCGGCTGAATTATACGTCACTATTTATATTTTCCCGCCGCAAGGTGCTTCCTATGCTAAAGGAGGTAAGTAGGGGAGCATTAAAGAATTTAAACAGCTCTCACCATGGCGGCCATGTACATTACTACCGGGTCATTTCACTCATTCATTTCACTTTGACAATTTGAATCCAGCCTGACCGTTGCATTGTGGGCTCTGGACAATGTGCCTTTGTTTCACTACAAACAAGCAGTATGTGTACACAAAGACATACATATAAGCACACATATGCTAAATATCCCGGGTTACTCAAAGTATTTCTTTCAGCAAAAGGAAGAAGATTTGGGATTTGGAAGTACCTGGATCTCCACTCCAATTTCGGAATAGTGGGGAATGTATAATAATCATACATCATATCAAACAAACAAACACTCCAGGGGCACAATGCAGAACGCGCATTATAAATTTAAGACTTTTGCAATTTCAATTTCAGTACTTTTAGTGGTATAGAATCGGAATTCTTCCACCATTACTCCTTTAGCCCATGATATCTTAATTTGTTTTCTAACTCTTCTTTTTACTCAGAAAACAATAACCTTCTTTAATGGAGAAAGTAAACACATTTCTGTGCAGAAAGGATCCTGCGCCCACATCCACTGCTCCGGAAAAACAATTTCTCTCTCGCAAATCTCAACTGGGTTAGACCGGTGTGACTGCACCACCGTTTGTAACAGTAGTTGTTAAACATTGTTCAGATTCCTGTTACTGACATCCTTTGTATACAGCGTTACCATGCTGACCATGAATTCTACATAAGCTCAGCAGCTGCAGTGATGGTCATCTCAGGTTCTCTCCCACTCCCAACCACCAAACAATCCTTTTTGTAACTAGATAACAAACACACACACACTCACACTCGCATCTTGTTAGTATGGCATGTTAACGTTGCAGACAAAACAGTTGCCAAGGGATGTTTTTTGATCTCTGTTTTTGCCAAATCTATTTTCTATTGTCTATTTTTAAATATTAGTGATTCAAGGATCAATGGGCTGTATAATTTTTTTAACTATGATTCAGCTCCTATTGTGTTTAAAGCATGATTCTGGATAATTGCATGACACAAATCAATGTGCAAAAACACTGAACAAACAGTATCTTTTCATGGGGGAAAATATAGATTTCTGTTTCTAAGGGGCGTAGATGTATCAGGACCTCTGGTTCCACAGGTAATGGAAAACAACCCCTTAAACTTACAGCAGTGCTACATAAAGATAGCAAACATCCAGAAGACCTTTGGTCAACGAAGGCTCACACCGACATAAATCTAAGCCATCTTGAGACCATCAATGTCATCCATTAGCCCCGCCTCCACGTTCGCCCATGTAAACAAACACTAAAGGCTCAGTCCGTCATAGCAGGGCCGTGTTCACCTCTCCTCGTCACGGGCTCTTCCAGGTGGGCGAGCGTTTGGCTCGATACGATGTGGAGAAGCGATGTGCGATCGAAAAGGAAGACTACGACCTGGCCAAGAGGAAAAAAGAGCTGATGGAAGAGTACAGGAGGAGCGTCTACCAGCAGCTGGAGGTCCACAACGTGCTGGACATGGCAACGGTCAGTCAACGTTAGATTGAGGTGCTTCGCCTGTTTACACTGTTCACCTGTATATTTCTATCCGAGGTGTTGGTGTTCATCACTTATTCTGCCCAAATCTGTTCTGTGCCTTCACCTTGTTTACAGATCACGCGGGCCGCAGAGTCATCGTCGGCCCGCGACCCTCCTGCCCCTCTGCCTTCTCCTGGTCACCGCTCTGCCCCCGCTAAGCCCCTTGTGTCCACAAACACATTCAGGGAGGGGAAAAATACAAGCGCTCCCCAGAACCAACAGTCAGACACAGAAACCGCTGTGGCCAAAGTGAGCAGCCAGCTCGACCCCCCGTGCATCCCCTCTGCTGTGCCTGAGATAGATGTAAGAGAAGTTTTCATTAATTTAAGCTCATTGACGTTGTAAAAATACCCCTCCACCTCCAAAACACATGCCAATCCAAATCACTTCATCAGATAATGCAACACATCACAACATCTTCATTCAGCATGAATCATGAGTGTTAACATCACAATTACTCATTGAAGACCAAATGCGTTGCACTCTGCACGGCCGTAGCAGAAGCTTGTTCTTCTGGGATAAAATGATTGTATTGTTGTAAGAATAACCTGGCCTACTACTGTAACACCTTGGGGAACATGTCCGCTGACGTAAGCCGCTGCAGCGTCGGAACACGGAGCACACAGGGAGATTGTGACCAGCAGGGGCTTTTATTCTTTACTCACCACCTACTAGGACTCGTCCTACTGCTGGTTTGGGTTTCACTATTTAATTAAAAGCGTGCAACAGTTGGCTGACTCCGGCGGCTGCCAACCTGGCCTCACAGCAGGGCTCTGAACCTTGTAGGAGGCAGCCCGGTGCCAGAGGGCCTTCGGGCCACAGGAAGCAGTGCTGGCCGCCGGGAAAGGTGGTTAAACGTTCGTTGTCATCACGAAGTTAAATGATCAACTTTTTCAGTGAGCAAACGCAAGAGTACATTTTTAAAAAAAGGGAAGGTTTGAGATTATACGTTTTTCAAAAGGATGGACGGACTTAAATGTACAAGATAGTTTTTAACGCTTAAGAGCTGACAGGTTATTGTTCTGTATGCTGATAAATACAGAACAGTATCGACGATTAAATAAGAGAAACAATGTGTGTAGTATAATTGAAATATCTTATTCCAAGCTTTTAATACCATCGTCGTCTTGTGCTGAAAGGTTACCTGTGTGCCTCATGACGAGAGGCCGCTCCCGGCCATTCGGAGGACGGAGCGGCCTGTGGAGTCGGCTCTGTCCTCTGAGGAGCAGCGCTCCCCCCAGCCTGGTGCTCGAAGGGCTCCACACAGCCCAGAGGTGAGCGGAGAGCCGGAGCCCCTGACGGAGACGGCCCAGAGAGAGGCTGGCCTTCCACTAGAGGTCTACGGAGAAAGCGTGGTAAGAAGAATCATTTGGAAACACCCGTGTGTGCGTTTTTATCTCTACTCCTACATACTGCTGTGTACTCGAATAAACACACTCTTGGGTAACCCTTCTGGAGATTATATTCAAGCCAATATTATCGTCCCAATAGATTATTATCAAGATATTGTAAGATGTACCAAAACACCGAATATATGTTTGATGGTACTTGTAGGTCAATCAGAGAGATGAAACATTCAAAATATGTGCTATGTTTACCGGTACTAAAGAACCAAATATAAACTTCCCTTATAACTCCTTTTATGATTTCCATCAACCCTTGAGAACGATATCCAGCTTTGTAGTTGCAAGATGATGATTCTTCTTATTCCACATTGGATCCATTGATATATAAGAAGTATTAGCACAGCGTTCAGAGATCCTGTGCGTCCCTGAACGGTAATTAACATATTTTGTCAGATACATGGGTTTGTGATACATCATCTCATTACATCTCACAGCTTATATGCTATTTAACTGATATTCACTAATCTGTAGCCCCTCTGTCTACTCCAGGTGGCCGGGGCGTATTCCAAAACTTGGTCCTACAGAGAAAACGCTCTCCTGGCTGTGTACAAGAAGCTGTCGGAGCTCTCACCCGCCACCCCCAAGGAGGAGCTGAGAAACATGACAAGAGCTGCTGTCTTCCTGGTCAAGAAGTCCCTCCTGGATAAGGTGTCTTCTGTGAGTCACGTCCTCAAAACACAGTTGTCCCGGTGTAAATGCCGTGAAGATGAAATCAACAGAAACCTTTGCCGGTAAAGCTGCCCTGTTAAGCTGTAGCGGATACGTTGACTTTAGCGCTGTCAAAGTCTCAATACAAACAGAGATTCATTTTACAAACAGAGCCTAACGTTCATAAGTCAAATCATAAGCACACCCATGCACACTCCTAACAATGTTGACCCTGTCCCATATGCTACCCTAGTTCTCTCTCCCGGAGCTGGTCTACCTTAAACTGTTTTGACAAGGATGGCCCTCTGGAAGTCATCTAAAGCGTGTAACAGGGTAGTGCTTCAATAATTCTAGCGATTTATTTTCATGGCCACCGTAGCTGCTGATTTGCTGCTTCACAAATGTGCTTCACTTATTAAATACGTCTTTCTCTTCCAATTTTGCTCTAATCTGCATGTCATGTCATTCCATCCTGAATTGTGTCTGAATTGAGGCCAGGGTGTTTTTTTATGTCTAAATCTGCCTTTCAATTGCAAAATGCTACAAACATTGATGGTTCATCAATTCAATTGACGTGTAAAAAAATAATTGGATCGGCTATTTGGATTCTTAACTTCACTGACTGTCCCTCCCCATCTGCATACTGTAACGCAAAGTAAACATTGCCAAGTCTAGCCTCTTTGCTAATTGACACCACCCTGGTGCTAGCTTTTTTCAGAAAGTCCACTAAGTGTGTAGCTAAACGTCCACTGGTTCCCTCCTCAGGTTTTCCACGCCTCCTTGAAGCTGCTGCGGTTACTGCTCAGCCAGCTGGTCCCGGGTCTGGGGCCGGGCCGGGCCGAGGTGAGCCACTGCATAGATCAGACTTGGCCCAGCCTGCTGGCCAGGACCGGAGACTCAGTGAGCCGCCTCCGCTGCGCGGCCTCTGCCTTCATTCAGGTATCGTAACGCACTGGACCGACATGTAAATGTGGCACAATTTGATTTCCATTAAACCTTTTAATTCCTGTCTGCCTGCTTCCAGAGCAGCTTCGGCTGATGTTGTAAAGTCCATAATCTTTTTATCCATAAAACAATGAATAGTGAACCAATTTAGTTGCTAATGTTGTTGCCGCTAATCTCTATTGTTTATGGTTTTTAAATTTCAAATTTGAAGCTGTGGTGGCTTTGTGATATTCTTTTCCAATACGCACCAACACCGTTATCAAAGTTTTTAAAGTCAAGTCAGAGGAATGAGGATACACTTCTCTGAGAGTTCCATGGAAGATTACATCACCATGATCATACTGCACTGCAGTGTGGTCATAGGCCGATAAACAATGGCTTCATATAACAAGCTTTTTTTAAGGCAGAGCTTATGAATAAAAATATGGGTAAGAGTCTGAATCAATTTCTCCTTTTCCATAAAATCTATCAACCATAGTAATGTGACAATGCCAGGAGCTGTGAGTACACATTCGAGAGATATTGTTCTTTTTAAAAAGATCACTATGTAGACCTTGATCCCACCATTACCACATGCAGGCAGATGTTTGCTCAACATACTGTAGTCACTGAAGCGGAGTGACATGTCTCGTAAACTCCTAATGCGTCAGAGAGGATCAAATATGCCATGATTCATATGTGGGCGGATCTGTTATAGTCAGGGATTTTTAGTAGTGTGAGAAAGTCATTTGATGGCCGCTTGATGGTGGCGATTAAACACTTTTGATCAGTTTAAAGCCGATAATTATTCCTTTTTTCAAGCTGGTTGGATTTATTTAAAAACCAAAGAATAAAATTCACCTCTTGGTCAAAAATAGTCTGAAAAGCTACCAGCTATCTGTATGTAGATTTTTATTGTGTGTGTACTCAGTACTACTGAATTGTTAATATAATACTACTACTTGGTTTATTAAACAGAAGCCCTCCTGTCTGGCCATGTTTAAAAATGTCATTTTAAAATAGTCCTCCTTGAATTGTATTGAGTTGTAAGAGTTGTATTGTCTTATTTGAATTGAATCCTGACATTTACATTTTGTCATTTCGGCTAGGTAAATTACTTTGGGTAATACATTTGTTCTTGATTAAAAGGATAATCCTCAGGCTGAATCCCTCCTGTTTTCCCTTTCCTTAATAATGTTTATGTCAGTAAAGATAAATCTCATTCGTATTTTGAATAATCAGTTAAAAACACACAAAACTTCTCTCACAATGACTTCTGTGCAATACAATATAATATATACGTACGATATAATTGTTATGGTATTTAGTTTAAATGGAGCATGTTGAAGCCAGTCTGATGGACAGCAGCCATCGATCGTCCTTCAAAACTATGAGGCGCTCTGGAGTTCCAACATGTGAGAAATCCAATCCACCGTTCCTCCAAGGGCAAACTCTAGTGAACACCGGCTGCACGGTCTCTAGCTTGTTCTGTGTTTTTAGAATATACATTTATGTCTTACGAACCAGGCTATTCTTCCAAGAAATATGAAACGGGTTTCCTCGCTTTCAAAACAGAGTGAGCTCAGTCGTATTTTAAAGGCATTGTTCCACCAGCACAATATAAAGTCAGGCCAAGCCAAGGAGGCCTTTTGTTGTTTAAAAGTGGAGTGGAAACGCTCCATATTGTTTTCACACGGTTACAGTTCCCTTTGACAATAAGAGCGTGTAATGTTGTTGTGACCCACTGCAGGCCGAAGATAGTGAGAATAATGCCATTACGACACATTTCATACGTGTGCAGTGTGTCCCATAGGTCCCATCTCCGTCTGCTGGTGTGAGTGTGTGCACACGTCGGAGCGGAACTACCGTGCGTGGCGAGAGGTGGACAATGGTAGAAAAAAATTAATAAATGATACATGAGGCTGTGTTTTCTACGCGAGCGTGTAACTGAGATGCAGCTAAACCAGGCTTTTCTTTTGTAGCTGAGGGACATTTGCATGCAAATACACAAACAAACCAATCCCAGTCAAATCCAGTGGCTTCCTATCATGTTGTGTTTATTTTATTTTGAAAGCAGCTGGTCACTGCTTAAGTTAGCTGACGTGGAAAAGGTTGGACGCACTGAAACGCGGGGTGAGTTAGGAGGTGTGTGAGGTGTCGCTAGGCTCGGCCCTTCAGACTCGCCTCGTGTCGCACTTAATCTGATGGCTCCTTCTAGACCCGAGAGATCCTCCAGCGCAGGGGCGTCAATCACTTGTGTCCTGTACTGGAAGGATTACCGGGCTCAAGTACATGTCTGACGCTGTGTGCGCCGGCCAGCTGGACTCTGTCGCGGTGGGACTCGTGCATTGGGGCGTCTGATGAGTAATAGAGGGATGGAGGTCTGTAGGAGCTACGGCAGCTTCTCTTTCAACCAGTTCAACGCTGGCCACAACTGTGCACACCAGTGCCACGAGTCTCAGCCCTCTGAAATCACCGCCCTCCCATTCTGGATCTCAGAGCAATGACTGAATGCCTGTTTTTACGATAGGGACAAATTATATGTGTTTTTTGTGTGTGTCTGCCAAATTTCCGACGTACATTCCACTCACCCGACGAGGTTCGAATGGCAAACAACTGAGAGACGTTTTTCCAAAAAGCCGTCCTCCGTCTCAGTGTGATTTTCCACTTGTATTCCCTGTCACGACTTGTCTCTCCAGCAGTCGCTGGTGTTGAATGACAAATCACCACGTTTAGCATCACAGACATGTTTTGTAAGTGATTTACCGGACAGAACACATACTAGGCTGCTTTGTCTTACAGGGGCTGGCCTGCAGGTCTACGTCGACACCGCATGGCACAGTGAGAGTTCCAAAGACATTGTCTCTTCTTTGTGTCCTCCTTTTAGGAAATTGCTGTTTTGAAGGATGTACGCGCTCTGCATGTAATCCCTGGTGAGCTGGTGAAGCCCTTCAAGTCCAACTTCCCCTCCCGTCCGGCTCAGAGTCGGGTCGAGCTGCTCCAGAAGTTGCTTGCTGAACTGGGGACGGAAAACTCGGGCTTCACCCCGGACAACGTCATGACGGTAAAACACAAAAAATCATGAAAAACGACCAATTTGTTTTGCGTCAGAGTTTTAATTCATTGTGAATTATTCTGGCTTCCGATGGGGAAGTCGAGAAAGGCCGACGTTGCACATTTCTGCTCACGATCACATGTTGATGATCGTGTTGCCCTGTGAAACCTTCGACAGCTGGAAGGAATGGAAGTTGATAATATGATGCTATGATTTTCTTTAATCTTGAGATTATTTTTATATTGCCTTCAACTCTCTCAATCTTTACATTTTTGCGACACAGGGACATTTTTTGTGGGTTTTCTAATTATTATTTGCAGCGGCCAGAAAAAGGGCCACCTCAGACAGCGATCTCAGACTCCTAAACTACTGCTTTCTTTTGGCAAAGTATCAATTTGATCTCTCCCCAATCTGGAAATAGCAATCACGACATATCCCCTATAGCATGAATGCACAAGCACTCTATATCGATTCATACGGTGTGAAGCCATTACTCCACTTAAAATTGGCTTCCATCGGGCTAATTTTCCATTACGTTTGGCTTGGATATTAGACGGTGACTAACTGAAAGGAGATCAGTCCCTCCCTGACTTTCTGTGGCCATTCAGTTCCCCCAGACAGGATGTCAGCAAGCCCCGCACAGCTGAGACCCATGTCGTCACCATTGGCATCCGCTTCTCATCCCGCGCTCTCCTCCTGTTCCCAGCAGTGAGCTAATATCTACGTGCCAACTGTCTAACTGTTGACCAGGCCGGGCAGGACAACCAGCCGTCCCCGTCCTCCTCCCCTCTCTAGTTTACCACCGGTCCGACTCGGCACGTCTTTTATCAGCAAGAGCAAACCGTAAGGTTTGACCACTCTAAAGCCAAACGCACACAGAGGGCATCGGGTGGCCGGTGTGTTTGTTGTGTGTTTGTGCGTGCGTGCTCAGCGCCTGTCTTCTTTGTATTGGCTTTCTCCCTTGTGTGCCTGGGAGACATTTCCAGTCCGGACTGAGACGTGACAGGAGGGCTGTGCTTTTACTGCACGGCCTTCAAACAGTTTGATGAGAAACATTTAGGAGAGACCAGGTTTAGTGCGGAGGGTTTATATTTAACTCTTCCTTTCAAAATAAGAACCAATATATATATATATATACCTCTAAATATATTTCAACCTGTCAGTATGTGAGGCAAGGCAGTTTTCTTTGGTTAGCAACAAGGCAATTCAAGGTGCTTCACATGAAACCATTAAAAACATCCAAACATAAATCAAAGATTTAAGAACATTGATTGAAACATAAAAGAAAAAACTTCATTAAAAGTTAAAGTTAAAGAAACCTGAATAAGAAAATATAACATGAAAGTCTATTTGTGGGTTCATCTCTCTCTGACACAAGGTCAAATATATATAATTTGTAGGGGCGTAACGATTCATTTTAACAACGATTCGAATCGAATCACGATTCATGGTTGCCAATTCGATTCATGGACGATCTGGGTTAATTCAGAATGATTCGATTCGATTCAGTGACTTGAAATCGATTCAGTAACTTTACTTTACTGTCTTTACTGGACAGTGCGGTCAAAGTTTCTGAGATCCCTGTTGTTTCTTGTAAGGAAATAAGGTTTAAATTAATTATGGATATGATAAACAAGCAAACAACAATTAATGGCAAATGTATTAACCTTTTATTTGAATCAAGTGCCATTTTCAATGTAAACATTACACAATAATTACACAATGTTTGGATCAATTCACAGAACCCCGGATTTTCAACCACATTGTAGGGTCGCATGTCTTTACAGATAAACTTGGCAATTGTTGCTGTGATGTTGTTGTTTGGTGCTGGCGAGGCCTGAGGTGTCTGCAGAGCTGGAGTTACCTGCTGCTGCTGCAGCGGTGACGCTGCTAGAGGTCCTGACTGTCGCCGTTGTTTAATCCCACGGCGCCTTAGTAGATGGCTGAAAAGATTCATCTCGTTTCCGTGTTTTTTATTTGGCTTCTACATATTCTACAAACAGCGACCGACTTATTTAGAACACCTCCATGTTTGCAAAAGCCAAAATGTTTCCACGCGCTGGATCGATTATCAATATCAGCAGGAATATAAATCGATTAATCGATTCAGTGGACGAATCGTTACACCCCTAATAATTTATAAATTCAATGTCGTGGATGGAGCTTCAAACTTTTAAACCCACTAGCTATTCCAGCCGTGCAGAGGCCACGGCCAAGGAGAAAGTCAATGGGGGGGAGAGGGACAGTAAACCGCTGCACATCAAACCGGTACCTGGTCCTAAAAGGAGGCGTGGGAAGCCTGAACTAACTTAAGGACAACTGAATCCTGAAAAGTAAGTAAAAGTAAATCTCCCGAGGGTATCGGCCTCTTTAAATATCCCCACCAGTCCTCCTGACCGCTCTGCGGTGTTAGCCCAGCTATGTTTTGAGCATTTTTCCTTTTCCCCCCTGCTGTTACCTGGGTGATCCGCTGCGGAGCGGCAGCCAGAGGGAAAAAAAACGGGGGGTTGGTGATTGAATTTCTTCTCATTAAAATGAGAAGTGGCCGGCTGAGACAACAGAGAATGAAGGCAAACTGTCCCAGAATCGGTTGAACGAGGGCCGGCTGGCCTTTACACGCAGTTTAGTTTGAACGCTCTCCTCTGGCAGGACGGCCATTGTGCTGCGACTCTCTGCACACAGACTGTGTCGGGTTATGGGCTCTTTCCACGTCCCTTGGAACGAACAAATGCGTGCGGTTTCTGCACACGACACCAGACTGCGTCTATGGCTTTCTACTGCGTTGACTTTTATTTGTTAAATAGCCAGCAACGAATATTTCAGGATCAGAAAACAGCAAACATTTTTTCCCCTAATATGTCAGACATACAAGTACGAGTTTGACTTGACGGTTGGTGCGTAACAGCAGGCAGTACGACAATGGATGACAAGACAACACTAACAGACAATAAAGGGCAGTTTCAGTGTAGTTACAGGGGCGCGGCAAGGTGCTCAAGGCTTAAGGAAGAAGGATGAAAACCCCCGGAAAATCAGGTTGTACAGCGCTGGGAAAATGGCTGTATGTGAAATTTGCATGAAAATTAGCATGAAACTGAAATCAGGGTCAGACCCTTTCGCTGTAGCCGTCATGCAAATTCCACACAAAGTCATATTCTCAGCGCTGGCAGCCAACCCTACGTGCAATGATCTCTTCCGTGTCTTTGACGTTTGCATACGGGGGAACGACGACTGGAAATTTGGCGACTTCATGGTTCTCATGGTCAAACAAAGGGTCTTTCTAAAGACTTCTAGTCAGTTTTCTTTCTAAAGCCACCACCCTGAAGAGAGTAACCTGGTTTCTGCCCCGCCTGATGTTCATGAAATGAGGTCACTGCAGAGCGACAACTGCAAACGGCAGCTCAAGTTGCACGAGCTGACTCGCAGTTCAGTTTTACAGGCGTGACGTTTTTCTTTCATTTCATCTTTCAAAATGATATTTTTCTTTCAGTTGCACCCATATTTCTTATTTCCATTGAAGGTGTCTCTGTTCAATAGGATGTAATTCAGAGTTCCTGCTCACTGCTGCCATGTTCATAGAAAGGCCTGTTTTCCTCTGTCAGTTCTGTGCAGCAGCTTTGGAGCACAACGCATCGGCGGTTCGGGATCTGGCTGCACGCGTCATCTTGTCCATGTACCAGCAGCACAGAGCAGCGGTTCTCCACCACCTGCCGCCCAACAATGCTGTGGCACGAAAAAACTATCTCTTCAAAACCCTCTTTGATGGCTTCTCAAAGATTGATGGAAAGCCGGTAAAGAATCTTTCTTTGACACTATTTCATTTCATTAACACCAATTTTTCTTTTTTCTTTTTCCAAGCGGACAGTAACAGAGATTCATGTTCCACAGAAAGCCAGCGGCCTCCGTTGCTTCCTTTGCCAAAGCAAACACGGCCTCCCCCATCTTTTACTCACCGAAACAAACAATGCATGAATATATTTGGGGTACAATCTAAACAAAATGTTGCACCTCTTCCAAACCCTTTATGTCGTCACCAAATGTTGTCGAGGACTTATTAGCTGAATCCACCACCGCGGCGCCCCAACAAGTCAGCTTGTGTTACCGTGAAGTCAGTGACTCACACAGTGACCGTGTCTCACTGGCGTTATTGGGGACCTCGCCTTCCCATCACGTAACGCCTCGAGGAGTCTGGACAGCTTAAAGCTGTTTCGTTTTAAAGACGGCAGGTCAAGAAAGATCTGTGATCCAGGAAACGATACAGACGGGAAGAAAAAGAAAACGCAGTGACAACTGACAGTGAGTCTCATTTCTCCCAGGTTTCAAATGAGGGAGGTGGTCAGCAGGAGGGGCAAAAGGCGAAGGAGGAGATCCACTCTCTTCAGGAGCAGCTGGCCGCCTTGAAAGAGATCACAGTAGGTGGAGTTGTCATTAGACTGCGATTACACGACGTCCCGTAATGGCCAGTCATTCGTTTTTATGATTCCACAGAGACCCGGTAGAAGGTTTGTGCAGCTCTTTAGGTGGTCAGAAACGAACATGAACAGACGCAAACCCATATTATTTATCTTTAAGAGTCTTATGAAGAGGAAGAGCTTTCCTTCTATTCTAATAAGCCTTTTTGGAACTGTGCTCTGATACCTGTTCATGTTCATCTTTGTCTGCGTGTGAAGGAGAGAGGGAACGACACCACCAAAGGACAAATGCCAAAGAAAGAAGCCCCAAAAGCTGAGTCCCAAAGAGCTGGCAAGCCAAGTACGTACACGTGTCCAGAAAAGCAGACAAAAAGCGCTCAGTTCCTAATCGCATTAAAGATATTCTTTAGTTGAGTTAAACACTATTTTGTACAAACTCTTATTTGGATTGCTTTAAAGCACAAAGGGACATTGCTTTATGTTTCAAAACAGCAACATGGTGCCAATGCAGTCTTTTCAGCCATGTAACCTGTTGTGGGCTACTTAGAAGGTATCTCTGAGGAAATGACTTCTAAACCTATAAATCAATGACCGTTTACAGAGGGGATAAGGGGCATTGCAGGGTCTAATTTAGTTGGTGGTGGTTTAGCAACAGTGCACCCGAAAGTCTTCTTGTCTCAATAACAGAACGAAAAGCTCCATTTGAAGACTATATAACAACAGGGCTTTACACCAATGCAGCCATTCGATTCCACCATGAACCTAAAGAAAGGGGGTGCAGGCACTGCTCACGATTGTGTTTAATTTGACTGAAATATTTCTGATATCAGGTAAGTTAAGTGTTCGGTGATGTTTGCAGTCGTGACAGATAACACATGTTGTCCCCTTTATTCCCAGCTGCCACAAAAGTGCCGCAGAACAAGGTGGCAGACAGTATTGACGTCCAACCATCCGTCAACTACCTGGACAAGTAAGAGCCTCAACGGAGACGTTTTGAATCAAGTTGACTGGAGTAACGTGGCAACACGGCATGTTGATCCTGACATCACGGGTCTATTGTTTTCAGCTTTCATAGACGGTGCATTCTTTTCCCCACCATTTCAGCCTGTGTATATTCTGCGGGAAAAAGGATGAGTCATTCACAGAGGACGGATTGGACCTTCACTACTGGAAACACTGTCCCATGCTGAGGCGATGCGACGAATGTCGACAGGTAGACGTTTCCCCTCTCAGAGGTGTCTGCGTGCGCGTAGTCCTACCTGAGAGACCAAAGGGACTTCTGTCTCGTGTCCGCAGGTCGTGGAGATAGCCAGCCTCACGGAGCACCTCCTCGGCGAATGTGACAGCAGGTCCATGTTCAGCCAGTGCCCGCGCTGCTCGGAGGCCGTGGCCTCTGAAGATCTGACGCGGCACGTTCAGGGCCCCGCCTGCAACGGTGAGCGCTCGGCCTCAATCCGTCGTGCAAAACGCGAGATGAAAATCATGCTTTTTGTTTTCATTACGGTGGATTTTATTTCTTTTTCTTGTATTTATTGGATGGTTATAGTTTAGACACAGATGTAATCAGTAGGAGATATGCGACATGCAGAGAAGGTCCAGAGCCAGAGTTTGGATGTTGCACATAAAAGTTATAATCAATAGGCTATCAGGACACGTAGACACATAGACAGTATGATCAATTACAAATTAAACCAAAATGACTAAAAAAACTGTCTCTTTAACTTTGTAAAGTTGTTAATCAACAACATTATTTAAATAACTCTGATCAAGCCACAGCACATCCTTTGTGTCATATTCGTCATTTAGCCATACAAATGAGCACTACAGGAGATCCTTTCAGACATGCTCTTCTATGTAAATGTGCCGCCAATTCCACATATCTGTGTTTTCCATAGAAGTTGCTATCAGACTTGTGTGCACTGTGCGGTTTTAGTGATGACTTAGTCTGATGTTTACATTTGCCAATTTTATTGACTTTGATTACGGGCCACAAATCCTACACTTGATGGAAGCCTAGTGAAGTAACTACTTGTTAGGTTTAGTACTGGTAATATTTTGGGCATCGGCGGCAGCTTAAAGACTGAAAGCAAAGGACTGGGGCGACAATATCTCTGGTATCTTATCTAGCGTCCTCTGGCTCTTTGGTTCCATTTGGTCTGTACCAACACACAAGATGCTTCATATCTGATTTGGCCCATTTACAATTGAACCTGCGCATGATTAAGCTCCTTTACTTAGTGACTCCACTATTTCATTTTGACACAACTTCAACGCGTGGCTGTGAGGTCACTAAAGCCTCTGATATAAACGTATTTCCAGAGCACCGTGTCCAAATTCCACTTGACATTCTAACGGAGGATGAGCAGGGCCGGTTGTTTGAAACTAACACTATGGGAAAATACAAACAGCCCTCTTGCCAGTATTTACTTAATGAAAGCTGAGGTCGGCTTTTCTTATGGGGACTTCTGGTTCCCGTTTGTTGTTCCCATTTGAAGGCAAAGTTTACTGTAAATGTACGAAACTGAAGACGCAGAGTTGTTGTATAAAGATTTGCATTACGTCTCTATTGCCAGCCGTTTGTCTCCGTAGATAATTGATGCCAGTGAGCCTTTTGTATTACCATGACCTTCACGTCTGTCTTACCTTTGTTGGTCAGCAATTTAAAGGAGGAAAAACAGTGGATTTAGTTCCGCCTGATGTTCCTGTTCCTATTCAGGTGTTTTGTCACGTGTGTCATTTTCCTTTTCTCTGGACATTTTCTGTAATTGTATATTAGGTACTTTAAAAAGGTGTCATGTGTCTGTTTCAGGGCCCATCTCTGGAAAAAGCTCCAATCACTGTCCTTTGTGTCACAACAACTTCCTGCCCGGAGAGAAGGTGAGATTCAGGTTTTTCTTTTTTCATTATCTCAATGATCTGTCCTACCTTGGGGCACCTGGCCAAGAATGAGAACAACACACACAATGCAAGTTATGAAACCCTGTCATAGCGATTGGTAAACAAGACAACCAGCAAGAAGAAGTCGATTTCTATGAAGTAATAATCTTGTTTCACCGGATTAGGCACAACATCAGATGTCCTCCAGGTTTCGGAGGAACTGGTTCAGCTCAGACTCCTTAAAACAATGGGTAGAGACACCCACACACACCCTGGCCACAACAGATTTTCCCATAGTTTGAAAAGCATTTAAGTTCACTATGATTTAAGGTTGTTGATCCATGAAGAAGGTGGACAACATTTAAAAGCTTTCTTTCCCAGGCAGATATAAATGAGTTTAAACCCTGGATGAATAAAGGATGCTCAGATATTTAATGGATCACCACATCTGGGCAATCAATAACAGTTGAACACCAATGTCTTGTTTCACATCGAAAGGAAAAACTAGACTTGTTTCTAAAGTAAAAGAACAGAGGTGAGAAAGCATGAGAGCCCAAACTGGACTATTTCTTTTGACTGACATCTGTCATGTTTTGTGTGAAGAAGTATCTTGATTTAAATAAGATCATAGCATGTGGACCAAGCGCTAAAGAGAAGCAACGTGTGTTTATTTTTCCACATAAAGCTTATTGTTTCCTTACAAAATAATAAAAAACAAACAAACAAAAACCTGGGTCTCTGGCACAGTGCGGCTTTCTAGACTTTACTGGGGCTCCTTTTGGTCAGATGTCCTCCAAACCGGACTTTTTATCGTTCATATTGACACGGAGACTCAAAAAGCATCTAATGTGAGGCCGGAGGAGCAAACAGGTGTCGAGGTAAAACACTGATATTTTGCTCCTTTCCAGGCTTCAAATTGGCCTTTGTTCATAACGGGCCGCTTCATGTGTCTCAGAATGAAAAAGATACCGTCACATTCTTTACATTCCTGTTAGTTTAGGGGCCACAGAAGACCAATCCCAGATTTAGCTGTTTTTTTTGGTGGTCAGTTATTTTGATATTAGTTAGTTGGTATTAGTTATGAATACTGGACAGAAGAAGGCTTCTGTAAGGTTGGATATGCGTATGTTTCCTTTGATTGCAGCAGAATAGACAGTTTTCCTGCTGCGTGTGATGATTGCAACGTTTGTGGGACACCCTGAACACCTGGCGTAACCTCAATGTGAAAAATGACATTATTTAACCAGCGGGGAAAATAGTTTGCTCACGTATCAACGCTCTTGCAGCTTCTCATCTGCAGGCTTTTTGTGAGAGACGTTTAAAATGGAAACATTCTGTGACCCACTAACAGATGAAACGACAGTGTAGCCTTTTGTGTGTCTTCCGTTACGTCTCCTCCACCGCGGCGCCTAATGAATCATGCAAACTCGTCTTTCAAGGACCCACGAGAGCGCCGGGAATCAGTCTGACCATCACCTGCCATCGACTACTTAATGCCTCTTTATAATGTGTATCTTTCCTGCCTTACAATTATTACACTGACATTATTTAAAAGCGCCGCTCCGGGTATCCGGTCTGGTGTTGTGGCCGGATGTACGTCATGTGAAATGGGCCTTTAGGCTGGTGGCAGCATGGACCAGGTGTGATCTGTTACAGATAAGCCGTGCACAACACTAACGCAGCCTTATTAATGACATTGATTACCACTGCTGTGACCAATGTTTGCTTTTTAAAAGGCCTTTTAGCCTTCGTGTCTCTGAGTGTGTCCTTGTCGACATTTAGACAAGAGAAACAAAAACGAGCCGTAAATTAAACACTTTATTACCAGTTTTCAGGTCTGTTTAACCGTCTGTATTCCCTGCAAACATCCTGACGCCAAAGTAGAATAAGGTACGAGAGACATCGAGCCCAAATGTACAGCGACCATCACTTTGCAACCATAGATACCGAATTTGTGTTCTCATTCAAAGTGGGACGCGCAACATACACTCCCCCCACCTCACACACCCTAAATACAAAAAAACAAAAAGAAACCAGAGAAAAAATAACTCACAGAAATGCTCGTTCTCGCTGATGAAAGACTGCAGTGTTGGTGGGAGGGAGGGGAAGCCGTTGGGGCCTTGACTGGGCCCACAGTCACCCGCGGCCGTCCCCCGGCAAGAAGGCATCCGGGAGACGAGCGTACTCACTGAGCTACTTTGTCCCCCTGGCAGGCCTGGAAGGCTCACCTCATGGGGAGGGAGGGCTGTAAACAAAACTGCCGAAGGACTGCGGTGTCCCAGAGAACCCAGCCGGCACAAGGTAAAGCATTCACACACACACCCCCCCCCGACGCCCCCGACCCCAGCCGCCTCCCTAACACTCGCTGTGGAAGCTGTAGCACGCTTGCTGGTCAAATGGTCACGTTGTAACTTTTCCATCATGGTTTCCTTGAATGAGGCACATTTAAAAAAAACAAAATAAAAATAAAAAGGTGTTGAGATTAAATGTGTCGTTAGTGACTGAGTGGATGTGGACTGCTGGATATGTTCAACACCTTTATTATTGGCTTCGTATTAATGGGTAAATGTTTAATTCTTTATATATAATTGAATATATAAAGCAGGTCGTGTTTAGCCGACCCTTGAGATCTGAACTTGCCGAGCTTTTTTCGAGAAACACCAGCTGTTGCCATCGGTAACCACCGGTGTCGCCAAATTAACCAAATTCCGATAAGCAAATGGCATCATCCACAGCGTGATGTACAGTGGCTCATAGGTTCACTTATTCAGGGTTTCCCCCCAGGAAGAATTTAAAGTTTTCAAACAATCGCCTCACTGAGGCACCTGCAGAAAAAAACACTCCTCCCCACCGTCCTGCACAGCGCCACTTTTAGAAAAGCGTATTCGTTTTGCATGATGTCATTGATCTCAGGCTTGCTGGCCGGCCTCTCTTAATGCCTCCGTACATTTCACCGTACACGTCAGTGTCACTTCGCTCCATATTGACAGTAAACCTGGTGACAGCATAGACTCCGTGACGTTGCGGAGTCAAAGAGAGGCAGAGAGGCGGTATTTCCACCTGGGCAACAGTGTAGCCATGTTTGTACATCACAGGTGATGCAGGCTGCTTTGCTGACTGATAAATAGCACACAGGAACAGGGGGTGTCCTGTTTTAAAGTTTGTTCAAAGGTTTCCCTTACGGATGTCCTGTGTGTGTGTGTGTGTGCGTGTGTGTGTCCAGGCAGGGCTGGCGATGGGGCCAACTTGAAGCAGGCCTGGTCGGTCGGGGCCAGAGGCAGAGCCATGGGCAGAGGCAGCCGGATCCCGGCCTTGGCCCACCGGGCCAGGGGACATCCTCCGGGGAAGCACTGAGGCACCTGGAGAAACAAACACTCCTCCCCACCGTCCTGCACAGCGCCACTTTTAGAAAAGACATCTGGATGTTGGATCTCTTTTGTCTGTATCTTGAGAGTCCGGCGTCACACACCTGTCGGGCTCCCAAACATGTGCCCACCGTGTGCTGCCGGCTGGTATCCCCTTACAGAAGAGCTCTGTTTTGGAGGCTCTTATATTTCAATTTGCTCGTGTTTGTTTTTGGAGGGACCGCGGACGGGCAGGAGATGTAGAGCTCGACACGGGTCGGTGGCGTGCATGTAAGGCACAGTGTTTAGGGGGATCTGTGAGCAGAAAAGAAATTGAAAACATCACTATGTTTCTCCTTTTTGTGTAGAAACCACGTCGTTTCGTTTATGTGTCTACGTAGAGAGTCCGCCATCTTGAAGCCGCCATGTTTTTTGCTTTAGCCCAGAACGGAGGAACGTCCTTACGCGTCACCCGAAGGCCGCCCTGCTTCTCCGCTGTAACGCAATCCCGTCTGACCCCTGCTGCTCCTGAAGCTGTTGTTATGGTATGCTTGGCTCCTGGAGCGAGGCCACCGGCGCCACCGTGGTTTTGCACTGGACGGCTCACGTTACCGCTGTCGCTGGAGTTTTGCTGGAGTTTTTTATTTTTTGTTGTTTAAAGAACGATCAAAGATGTCCTTCATTCCAACTCCACGCCCTCAGTTGGTAGTACGGGCTTTCGCTGATGACATCACTGTGATGTCATCAGCGTTGTGTCTCCAGACGCTGCGAACGTACAAAACAATTTATACATGAAATCTAATGCAGTTGTACATTTTTTTTTACTTAAAGGATTTACGGGGTTGTATTTAATGAGATTTGGATCACAACTCTTGAGGAAAATCCCCGGGTATATAATACCATTAAATACTTAATCAGTCACTAGATCTTCCCAGAGCGCAGGTAGAGCGACTGACACTGTGAAGGAATAAGCATCCTCGAGCCTTTGACAACGCGAGTGTACCCAACACACTGCCATCCGTTTACATTTCTTCTTCCATTTTCTATAAATTATATCGAAGGAATGAAGTAGCACATGCTAAGTGTCCAGTATAGTATGACCTTAATTTATTTTCCTTCTTACTGCTGATTGACGATCTTGACGAAGTAGCACAGCTTTGTCTTCCTCCCCGGACTCACACTAAAGAGATGGATCTATTGTATGCAGTTGAACATGACGTAGACTGACCCGGGCGGACAGTCCGAAGGACTTTAAACTGATAATATTTTGCTAGATTTATTTTTAATGCTAGAAATTGTACTTCCATTGTACTGCAAAGTGTTATGATGATGTTGATTGTGACATATCTGCAAAAACCATCTTTAAAACGGGTTTTTGAACCTTATCTAAGCAAACTGTTATGTTAGAATAATACCTGATAATGTGGTTGATAACATTTACTGCTGATGCATAAAAGTATATTTTGGTTTGAACTACCCAATCCTTCACGTTGGCTTTTATATGAATCTATGACGCAAAAGTGTATATTTGTCCTGTTTTCATTTGCATAATAGTCAGTATTTATATCTGTATTTGTTTAAATAAAGCTATATGACGCTGGACATCGCAGATGTGGTTTGTCGTTCGTCGTCCATATGAACGAAAGGATACAACAGTAATTCTGCATTTTACAAAGTTGGCAAAGCTCCGGTTTTATTTACATGATCACACGTCAATCTGCACACTTACAGCCCTTTCAGCGTCTTTGGTTTTTTGGCCTAACTCTGCCAATTCTACACACGGGAATTGAAAATATATTAACTTAAAACAATCAAATCATTTAATTTTGTACAATTTCAGCACCCTACAACAACAACAACAAAATAAAAGAGGATGACAAGTATAAATGCAACTGTTCGGTCCACCATGTGTCTTAAGAGTCCCACTGAAATCAGATATAAGGATCAGCTGTTTCAGAGTTCCGTCTCATTCATGCCTGCACAAACACACACAAAAACCTCTACAACACCTTCCCGTACTGAGATGACAGCAGATGATAAAAATACAAGCTGAGATGGCACCAGGAACCGTCCCTGGGGAGTGTGCACACTGCTGAGTAGTGGTTTCACATAATGGAAAAAGAAATCCAAGTAGTGGGACGAGTGCAGATGAGAACCTCAAGCTGCTGAAGCCCTTTGAATTGGACACACAGAAAGAGAAAACCACAATGAAAATAGATGTATACAGTAACTTTCCCATGTGTCTTTTGACCGGCACTGCATATATGTATTTCTTCTTGTAGTTGTTGCTTCCCTTGGCCACATAGAATTAGTGCAGAACGTGCAACAGAATGTGTTCAGCTCGAAAGTCATCAGGATCGATCCCCGGGTCTCCTCTGGGTCACATGGACGTCCTCTGCGCGCACACCAGCTCGTCGTTGTGCACCACGCTCCACATGCGCAGCAGCTCCTGCGCGCTCAGCTTGTGCACCACGATGAGGTTCCGGTAGAAGCACGGCTCGCTGTTCATGGGGCTCACTTTGCGTCGGGTGATGCCGAAGGTCCTGAAGCCCGGGTGGATCTCGGGGGCCAGGCGCAGCTTCTGCAGGCACATCCCCAAAAACACGTCGTCGATGGGGTACAACTCCAGGTCCTCCGACACCACGAAGAGCCTCCTGGCCAGCTGGGAGGACATGAGAAAGCCCCCGCCCCCGGCGTACGGCGGGTACGGCTTATCGTACAGCTCTTTGGGGATGTAGTACTTGCTCTGCCGGTTCCGGATGGGGATCGCCTTGGAGATGGTGTCCCCCACGAACAACTCGGCGTCCTTGCGCTCCTCCTCTTTGAAGCCGATGAGCTGCAGCAGGTTGTGCGTGTTCACGAACACGTCGTCGTCTCCTTTGAATATGAACCGCACGCCGGGGCAGAAGATGTCGAACCACTTGAGGAAGTTGACTTCTTTCAGGGTCAGGTTGAAGAAGGTGTCCATGAAGTCCCATTGGAGGATGTCCCCGTAGATCATGTCCTCGTACTCGATCAGCTTCTGGAGGTTCTTGGTGTCCTTGCCGGTCGTCGGGCTCCCCAACAGGAACAACGTTTTGATCTTCTTCCCGTCCGCCGTGTGCTCGTGGCCCCACGTTTTACGCACCGCCTCCCGCCGGTCGTGCTGCTCGATGACGGACTTGACCACCATGAGAAGGTGCACCTCTCCGTCCGCGCATTTCTCCGGGTGGTTGATGAGCATGGGGAAGTACCTGCAGTGTCTGTGCAGGACGAACTGGTGAAACCTCGGGTCCAAGCGCCGGAACCAGTCGTTGGTCCTCACGGACGCGTCCTCGCTGCAGTTGAGAACCTGCGCGTCCCAGAAGGCCGGTGTCACGTTGGAGACGCGCGGCGCGTCCGCTACGTAACCAGCCGCCGGGGAGTCCGACCTAGTTTTCACGGCTCCCTTCTTGAGGGGGGAACACCTGGAGCCGCACCAACCGGCGTCCCACGCGCGCTTGAGCCCCACGCCGTCCTTTTCTGCCACTTTCAGCTTGTGGATCATGAGGAAAGACGCAAAGACGAGGGACAGACTCAGCAAGGGTTTCAGCAGACCGACCCGCTTTCTCCGGTAGAAGTGATCCATGTCTCTCAGTGCGGCGCCCGGAGACCCTCTGGTGCTGGACCGTCTGCCTTCATAGTGTGTCAAAAACGTTTGGTCCGAGTGGAGTCCATCACCGCCGTGCCCGCTCACTTGGAAGCCAGACGATGCGCCCTCGGACGCGTGAGAGCGCAAAAGCTGAAGTGGCCCCGGGGCCCCGTCGGCCCATGACGGCGCACAGAGGAGTCAAGCATCGGCTCTGGGTGCGGGAATGTGATGCGGGAAACACTCGGGTTTCTCCTCTGGCTTTCTGTGTCAGAATGACTGAATACCTGCCCTCCCCCTTCCCCCCATCCCCGCCCCATCCAAACACCCTCTCCTCGCCCTAAAGATCTCCTCCCGGGCTTCTCATTTCTCTCTCGCACGCACACACACACACACACACACACACACACACACACACAGACAGACACACACGGACACACACACACGTTGTGGCGCTACGTCATATCGGGCGGATTAACGCACTTTTGTTTCACCAGCCCGTGCGTTTATATAATATTGAGCTTATAATGCAAGATGAGCCGTTATAATGATAAATTTTATCAATCTATGATATTCGATCATTATAATGATAAAAATTACTCAGAAATGAATGGAAACAGTTAAGCGATACAGATACAATGTATTAATTTAATACGTTTGGGAGTACAAAGATGCAAAACAATACGATGAAATAATCACACAGCACAGCAAAAGCATTACAAATACATGTTGACGTATATGCATTAACATTGTACAGAACGCGCTACTTTCAGGTGTTGAGCATTATACAAACGTTCTAAATGTGGCCGCTTAGATGTGTTGCCCGTGAAGAAATAAGAATAATCCGCCTGTAAACAAGATGCTCTCATTGGTCATGTCAATGTTAATGATGCCAATTTCTTTTCTTATTCTTTTTAAGTGGAATAGATTCAAACAGCATTCAGGGCAACACACAGATAAGGAAGAAATGACATTCCTAATATTCCTTGACAGCACAAACTGTTGCGCGTGGCTTTCAGGAGGTGCATCATAAAGACTCCAGCACCCTCTTGTGGACAATTTATGGAATGACGCGTTGTCAACGACCTCTCCTCCAATTATGTCACCTGAAATTACCCAGGTAAACCAACCCCCAGAACAGAAGTTAAACTAAAACGGCATCGCTTACACACTTTTAAACAAGTTTACACAATAAACTCGTCGTAATTTAGGTAGGTAGGAAAAAATAGGTAAATATCGACAACGGAAAAAATAAATCTGATCACATGCACCGCTGAGACGTCTTGAGTGGTGTCAAAATAATCAATTGAAATTGTCAGTAAAATTATTTAAATAAATATCATAAATAATAAAGTTCAAAAAAGGAATAGTTTGTAATAGTTCCGAAGCTTTTTTTATAACGCAGATCTCCCCAAAAAATGGATTCAGGAGAATAAGGGGCACTGTGGTCCAATGGTTTGTGTGAAGGATGGCATAAGGAAAGCTCGAGTAAGTAAAGAAACAGCAGCAGCAGTGTAGTTTATTAAAGTGGAAAAAATAACACGATGGGCTGAAGAAAATGTACATTAAGTGAGAGCAAGTTCCACCAGGGGCAAATGTTTGGACGCTGTAGGAGTCCACTGAGGCCACAAGGTGGCAGCAGTGCGGCATTTAGGGGGCAGGCTGACATTAAAATCCAAAGAAGAAGCAGGAGGGTTTTTTTTTGCGATACGCTACAAAATGATCCATACCTGTCAAATGTGTAGCTGATCCGATCCGTTTGTTCGAAGAATAATAAAATACACCGACGATACTCGCCGCAAAACAGAGGCATTACGCCGCAAAAGTGTGCGCATGGAAGGCGTCAAGGTAAGCTAACGTTAGGTTACGGTAATGTTCGGTTTATTCACAATACACAATATTTACTGTAACGTCAACGCTGTCCGTGGTTACGGTGTCGGAATGGGACGATGTTTAACTGTCAGAGGGAAACAAAGTCCTCGCCGGAGCTGACGGAAGGGTCCGATATGTGGACGTGTGAGCGGACAAACGAGGCTAGCAATGCAGCTAGGAGCTAACGCTTTAATGGAGTAACGTTTATTTATTAGCTGCCTGTCGGCTGACTCACGGCAGGTTTCGTTCGCCATGATGGTTTATTTTTCACACAGTGCTCAGGGAATTTAATGACCCCCCCAAAAAAGCTCATCTATGTCACCGGGATAGTCTCATTTTATGAACCGTTACCGATCGTTTATTAGACCTGTTGTTATGGGTTTACATTCCGATGAGTGCACGCGATTGACGGCGATAAACCGCGCAGTGTGCCGGAGGTCTCGAGTCACGGGGTCAACATGTTGGGGGAGGAGCTTAACCAGTGACGTCACCGGGCCCTTGTTGGATTTTCTAAATTCAAAAAAGTTTTTTTTTGTGAAACACATGGAGGTGGAGGGCATGAAAAAATCCCACATGTTGTATCGTCCAAAAAAGTATTTAACATAACGGATCATTCATCTTAAAGCAGCTTATTGATCTAATGTCCAATGATCCAATAATTGGAAAAGATGAATGCCTTATTTTTTTCTTGACCTTTGCTTCAGCGTAAGGGCAACTAATGCCTTCCACAAAGTTTTATTATGCCAATCAATGAATGAATCGCACTCTTTTACAGCGCTGTGTTTTGAAAAAGTTTCCTTCCTTGTGGGGTCTCTGAAGCTGGTTGCGATTTGGCTTCCTACTGTCCCCGCCAATTGAAACCAGATAAAACCACCCTGTCCCATGAAGTAGCCGCTATGATTGACTATTGCCGCATGTGATGTAATAAACCCCTGTTATGCTTTCCAGATGCCCGGTCAACTTGACGGCTTGAAGCCCAGAAAGAGGAAGATCGGCTCCAGACAGGTTTGTGTTTAACTTGTAAACCCGAGTGAAAGGCCTGTATGAGGTTAACTCAAAGAATTTGTAAACAATAACTTTATGTTCCCTCTACACTGGACATTTACGTCAGGTGATTTACGCCGGTATAAGAGCAAAGGAAATTGATCATGGTTTACTGTAGCATCATCATCATCCTCCTCCTCCTGACCCAGGCTTCTACGTCAAGAAGGAGATGCGCAGACGGTCCAAAGACGCAGCCGGCAGCAGAGTGCAGCTCGGCCGTCGGTGTTCACAGCAAAGCAGACGTCCCTCTCGAGAAAGACTCTCGCATCAGCTGCGAGTGCCACCACTTTTCAGGCAGGAGGAGGTGCTCGGCGTCGCCAGAGGTCGAAAGCCAGGAGGGCAAAGAAAACGCACTGAGGGCGAGGCTGGAACCGGAGGGCCGCAAAGGGAACGGCGCCCGCGACAAGCGGGAGTCCGAGGACATGGATTGTGAGGAAACCAGCAAAAACGTGGGGAACATCTTCCCGGACGACGACAGCAATCAGATTCTTCCCGTCGAGCAGTTCTTTGGGAACTTGGACGCCGTACAGGTGAGGCATCTGTTCTTTATCATTTTTTCTTCTCTGCCATGGGGACATTCTGTGACTCAGGTTGGATTATTTAGCCTGTAAAAGGCTCCTGCAAACTATTATTTCTCATAGTTTGGGGGTAAGATTCTGTCCCTGTTAAATGAATTCCTTAAATCCCCTTTTCCGCGCTGCAGGACTTCCCTCAAAGATCGTCGGAGACGTCCCGCCGCGTCCACAGGGAGCGCAGGAGACGACACTACTACGCACCAGAGGACAGCGACCAAGAGGAGACGAGGGGCGGAGGGGACGCTGAGTGAACGGGCAGCGCACCGAGGACATTAGAGGACTTCGCAGCGAGTCAACACGCCAAAGCGCTTTGAGAAAACGCCGCCAAAATGAGACGGCTCATCAGAGTTGGACCCCCCCCCCCAAAAAAAACCCGCTGATGGACGTGCTCGCCATTCACTGGTGATGAAGTAACCCGGGGCGATGCGGGTCACGTGCCCCAAAGAACCCGCTGGCTCCAGTTCACCACCGCTGGTCAGGACTCGGCTGATGGCTCAAAGCGCGGCGTCAACATTTCCAGTTGTCGACCTGACGAGGAAACTCCAAACACACAGACCTGCCAAATTGTTTTAAAATGCCTGAATGTGTTATTTCATTTGATACCTTTTGATGCAGCTACAGTACTGAGATGAATATGTCCACCTGTGGCGGTTTGTACAATAGTGCCTGTTTTGTTATTTATTTCTGAATTCATGCTCTGTGTTGGCGGCACTTCATTTAGATAAATCGGGCTACGTAACGCGCTGCTTTATACAGCCTTGATCAATGCCAAACAGTACTGGACTTCAACATTTAATCGATTTATATTCAATTATAGGTTGTGTACATGCAGAAAGGAAGGAGGTGTCGAAGAGTAGATCCACGTAGACAGCGTTTAATATCAAATATTAGCATTTGAGAGGAATGTCATTGTTCACCAAGTGTCTCATATTCATTGTTCATTGCAAAGTCTTTTTTTGGCAGCTGCTTAACATACTGTATAACACATCTGTGAATTATAACCTGTGGAAGTATATCGATGCAGCTAACACGTTTCTCTGGGTTCCTGCTAGGTTCACATTTGCAAACATAAAATACAAAAAAACAATCATGGACCAACAATGTTTGTGGAAAAGTGGTGATTTAAGGCTGACAAATGTCATCTAGTCGTCTGAGGTAATTGCACTGCTGCGGTTCACTCCTATGCAACTTCCTGTCCGAGTGACCGCCGCTGAAATCAATCCATGCATTTCTACATCACCGTGCCAACAAAGACAAATAAATGGTTTTCATGGTTCCCTGGTTCGGTTTGATTGTCTAACAAAGCTCTGTGAGCTTCACTGGTTCAGAAGCAGAATATGGTTTAATAAAAATGAAATACAGGCCAAAAATGCGAGGTCCCTTCGCTGATTGGATCATCCGCAGTCGCCTCCAATATAATCATTCACATCATTATCAGTGCAACTCGTACAAATCAGAGCCGACCCTCCTGCATGGAGGCAGAGGTGAAAATCTTCACATCAGGGGCCTCTTCTTGCCTTTGCCCTTCCGTTTGTCTCCTGCCGCGTTGAAGATCTCGTTGGCGTCGCACTGCAGGTGGTGGGCCTCCTTCTTGTGGCACACGATGTGGACCAGCTTCAGGTTGTCCCGGGTGAACAGCAGGCGGTAGAAGTAATGCAGGTTGACCTCGGCGCTCTTGTGACTCTGCAGAGCTTCCAGCAGGGCGGGAATGATGGTCCTCTTCTTCTCAATCCTGGAGACCCGACGAAGAAGAAGAAGAAATGTCTTAGAATCGGTTTTTCAAATCAGCAGGTATGCCGTTCAGATGCGTCTGTTGCCAGTCACCCGGAGGATGGTGGCCGTATCCGTGGTGTCGATGCCGAATGACATGTATGTATGAATTATTATTTTTTTAAACCTACAGCGAGGTTTTGTTCACCCTTTGTCTTTAATATACTAACAAAGTCCGACCTGTGGTCCAGATTCCAGGTGCTGAAGAGGATCCTGCTCTCCCGGCTGCCGTAGGGGTTGATGGAGTGGAAGGACCGGCACACTTCCTGATCAAATGATCCCTGAGGAGATGACGAGGTGGAAACATGACGCTCAAAAACAGGTGCCGTTTTTTTTTCTTCTTTTTTTAACGTTTCGGAAGTTTCAAGGGTCACATTTCTTTATGGAAAGGCGCCATAGGGGGAGGTGACCCCCTTGTGTGTGTGTGTGGTTGACCCCTATCTTACCTGGCAGGTGAACCAGCCCGCCGCAGTACAGAGCCGATGGGCTTCCTTCTCCGTCCTGTCAAAGTAGCTGCCGTTGTGCTTCGCCGACCTCAGCATTTCTGCCAGGCATTTGGTGGTTTTCAGAAACTCCGCCCTGACCGCGGCCCTCTGGATGGTTTTGGTGGCGGCGTCCAGCTGACCACGGAGAACACACAGAGGAGCCGCGCTTTAACACCGTCGTGCCACTCGCCTTCTGACGCCCGAACAGAAAAAAGGGAGCCTCACCTCCTTCATGTAGCTTCGTATTCTGCTCCCACAGTTGAACTTCATGTAGGCGGACTTGGTCTTGAATCGAGTGTCAACACCTGAAAAGAAGCCAAGCTTAAGGAATAAAAAAAATGTTCAGGCAGGAAGACCTTGAGAGCGGCACAGCCGTCACCTTTCCGATGTCCGAACGTCTCAGTTGGTCCACGCCTGGCCAAACAAACATTGCTGCAGTGAACCCAGTGGACGTTGTACCTGTGAACCAGTCTTCATCATCCTCTCTCTTCTCCACCTCAGATGTGTCCTGCAGGTTGTGCAGCAGGTCCGTCAGGATCTTCCGCCTCTTAGGAGACGGCTCGTCAGAGAGGAGGCCTTTCGCCGCTTCGACGAGGGCATCTGCATGCCGGTCTGTGCTCAGTAACTGGCCGATGTCGGACACAGCTGGAGTTGAAACCACGAGGGTTAGACAACGTCCCACCATCTAACTTGCAGTTTTTCTGGTCAGGAGGACACATGCATGTACAGTTGAAGCGATTTAAATCTGTGGATGATTCCTCTACCTCCACTCCATGTCTCATCTCTGCGCAGAAGAACCAGTTCAGTGTTGTCCGGCAGAGTTTGGAAGAAGTCCTCCGTCACGATGGTCCCATCCGCATACAAAGAGATGTGAGCACCAGCAGATGGCAACTGGAAATGATTAAATGTACACAGCAGTAATCGTAACAGGTTCTGGACCAAAGTAAGATATTGTCTTCACTTTTGGCTCTTTTCCGACCGATGTTTTTTCTATTACCTCTGAAGCACACTTGGTCTTATGTAATATATAGAGGAACATTTTTTAGATCTTGATTGTGCGCTTACTTTAAGCACACTCGTCTCGTATAGGTAAAGATTTATCTAGTAACCTTATATGCAGGTGTCTGTGTCAGCGTGCCGGTTGAACGTTCCTTTTGTCTCCTGTTTAGTTATTATGACCTAAAGTCGCTGTAGAGGACGCGCAGCTGGAGGTCCAGCACTTGTTCAAACAGATCAGAGAAAAACAAAGAAGCTCACCTGTAATATCTTGCAGGCTTTTTTAAGCAACTCTTTCATGTCTTTCGCCGCAATTCCATACTTTCCAGTTTCATTGCAACCTCTAATTTTCACGGGTTTATTTGTGTTTCTGAGGAGTCCGGACATTGCACTGAAGGCACTTTGTACGTATCGCTTCCTTCCGTTTCTTCTTCCGCTCCGACCGGCCCGTCAGGCGGCGCGTGGCTGCCCTCTGCTGGTCAGGTCCTTCCATTGTCTTTAGCTGCCGGATCAAGTGTTTAGTGTATAAAAAGTATTTAGTGTATAAATAATATCAAAAATGATAAGATCGTTAAATAGGCACATGGTCATGAAGGCAAGATTGCATTGCCCCACGTAATATAATATTATCACACTATAACAACACAATGTTGTTCAATACATGTTTATTATTTGTATTATATATTATGATGCATTAATACGTAAACATATTTGTATGTCGCAATTGGTACATGGGAAGCTACAGGTGTGTGTGAAGTGAGAGGCATGAAGAGTCAGGATATAGCAATAATCAATGACACCAAAACCTGCCTATGTACAATACTAGAATAAATAATAACACTTTGTTACTAGAAAACATGGAAGGCAAAGCGCTTGGTGTTTAAATTCAAAGAGATGCGCCACTGCCAATGTCACAAAATAAATACATAATATTAACTTGAATTTTTCTCCAACACTGGGCCACCTTTCAAGTTTAAACGATTAAGCTCGATTAATTAATGTCGTTTCATATTAGTACACTTCAACTAGTGTATTTTACACAATCATGTATTTATATTACTATAATATGCACTACTTCAAGCATGTATTATACTTAAACAACAGTGGATGCTTTGTTTAGATTTAGAATTCAAGACCTTAAACTGTGGACCGGGATGGTGAAAATTACCATAGCAACTGATGCAGCGCATTGGGACATACCAAAAAAAAGGTTTACAGTTTTAAATGAAAACATTGTGAAAAACTGTTTTTACGATCAAATTCGGGGAAGAATTTCCTCGGTCCATATATACCTTTGTCATATACAAAATATGTATATTTGCACTGCTGTTTTGCTCGCGAACATACTAATGCAATCGCTGATAAACACCTCTCCCCCCCTGTTCACTTAGTAGAACGTTCCAATTCCAACATGGCGGCCGCGAGTTTGAAAATCTGAACGGGTGGCAGAGATAACATACGCGGTAACAACCCCCTTTTTACGCTCTATTCCTCAATTTCCGCATCGACACCGTAGTTCTACTACTTACTGCAGGATATGGTCAAAACAGAAGACACGCCCGACATGGCGGACGGCTGGAGAGAAGTGTTCGAGAGAAGCCGGGTGCTTCCTCCGCCCAGCCAGACGGTCCGCCTGGCTTTGGACAACCACTTCACCCAGTCCCTCGGCTCCCAGCTCACCCTCAGCCGGCTCACCGCGGCTCACCTCCCGCAGGTGATGTGCGCGCAGAGTACGAGAAACGCTCCACCAAGCTTTAGGAACACATGGGGTCGAGGTATAAAGGTGGTGGTCTTTGAACGCGTCTCCATCCTATTAGTAAAGATGTGACAGAGGCCCCTGATGATTAGAGGTGAACCGGCCAGTAACATGTACCACTCTTAGGATGCAATGGACAGTTTGAGAGATATTCCAGCAAACACCACTAGTGAGTCTCACGTTGTTAAGTGTCTCAATGAAACTATAAACCCTTTAAGCGAATTTAGGTTATTACATGGTGGCAGAATTCAGCGTTTGGATCTTGTAAAAAGTTCTGTGGAGCTTTTCGCTGAGAAGTTCAGCAGTAAAATTAGATTTTAAGTTTTTTATTTTTTTTATTTCTCATACCTGTAAATCTTCTGGGGTTTACCCGTGGCTGTGACTCTAATGCAGGTGTCTCCTCTTGTAGGCCCAGGAGACGACAGGTGGGGGACAAGAGGTGACCTACCAGCTGCGAGTGACCCTTTTTGATAGAAGCCATCAGCACTTCTTTGGGAACACGTGGAAGAGTCCCTCCCTGAGGATGAAAAACAAAAAGATCCCCGTCAACGAGGTACCTTTACTGTCAGAAGCCTGCAAACAGCTGACATGTGTTACGTTTGCAGGCTCGCTTTCTAACTTCTCATATATTGTTTTTAATTAGTATTGCGTTGATAGTTATATAGTGAAATCAATGGTCATTAAGGCGAATTGTTTAGCACAATCATTATTTAATTGGAACAATCTCAGAAGCTCGACCGCTCAAGGCTTTTAACAAGCAGTGATGATCAGACTGTGTTCTTCTGCACTCCTGAGTTTGTTGTTAGTTACAAAGTGATTCCAGTTGCATTCAACAAGTCCCATCTCATCATTGTCTTCTTACCCTGCTGAGAGCACTTCTTATGAAAACCACACAGTTACAGGGGGTTTGACAGAAGGAAATTATTGACAATACAGGCACGATGAATAGTAGATCAATAAGGGATCAGGTTAGTCACCACTGGTGAAATGGGTTCAGTTATTATTATTATTACAGGGTTCATATGTTTAAAATGGCTCTAAATCACACGATGGTGATTTATCATTTTATTCTGCAGTACTATTCTAGAACATTTTATACTACATTTGTTAACGATTTATTTAGAAACTGCAGACAGATAAAATAAATGATTGGATTTGGCTAAACCAGATTATATACCTTTAAAAAAATGGAATTAATCACATTGATGCCAACATGATGCATTCATTAAATATTGCTTAAAGCAGTCCTGATCATTACAAAGGAAGTCCCCAAACCTAAGTAGAACAGTTCTAAGATGAGAGCACAGTCTCGCGTGTGTGAGCTTAATAGCCACAATTTGAACGGAAACCACACAGTTCAATTAACCATAATACACTCCTTGTGTCAGCGCACCGGGGGGGGGGGGCAGGAGTTACTGACGTGTCCTTGTTAACCGGACACGCTTGGTGCTATTGAGGAAGTCTGCGTGCTTGGAGCAGTTGAGCTTGTTATATCTGTGTGTTTTCGTAGTGACCCGGTAAAGCATCTTGCACACTCCTTCTCACCTGTGGAATCCTAGCAGACCCACATTAACCTGTTGTTGCCATTGGGCTCTCCCAGTTTCCCAGCACACACCTTTTGAACCGGACACGAACAGAAAATATTTGATCGCACAGAACGGGTCCAATGATTCGACATCTGGCAGGTCGCGGTATTTCGTGAGCCAGCGACACCAAGCGCTAACTGCCGCACCGTCCTTAGTTGTACATGGGATCTACATTTTCTCTGGGAGTCCATGTGAATCGAGTTGGCCTGCAGTTTCGGTCAAAGTTTGTTTTATTCCACTTCTTTACTTTCCCCCAATCGATGTTCAACGTGTCGTTTCTCCTCTGTAATCCTCGTTAGACAAAAGGGAACAAAGAAACATCTTTTTGATGGCAGCGTCTGATGTACTTTGAAGGAAGCGCTTTGATGATGTCATTTCCAATCGCTTCTTGAAAAACGCTAAAGAGAACGTCGTAGCTGCGGAGGACAAAATAGACGAGAGATCAAATATGCCATGAATCGGATCGTCTTCACGCTATCCATTCAAGTTAAAAGGGTCTCTTTTGTCTAGCAAGGCCCCTCTGGTCAGGGCCGCGCTGCTTCGCCGGGCTCTTTCCTCTACGCTGATCAAAGTTAAAGTTGATGGCTTCTAACAAGGGGGACCAAACTAAAATTGATGTTCATACCATGATTGAAGTCAAAGATTCACAGTGCAACGTTACTTGTCAGAACTCTGATTAGTTTTACTTGTTAAATTCCTAAAATGAACTACGTCTGATTGACTATAATATCTTGTATTTCATCAGATTAGTCTCAGGCAGCGTGCCAATACCGGTCTTCAAGAAGCAAAAGTGAGACCAGTGTTGAACCTGGGAGAGCAGAAACATCTCAGCCCTTGATATTTAGATGCATTTACCAGGTCCCCGTCTTTTTGGATCCTTCTATTCTTCTATAAAAAGAAAAAAAAATGATCACATGCAGGAGTTTATTTTATCCATTTGTCATGTACATGAAATAACACGTTTTTACTCGTTTCCAACAAATACCCTTATTTGGCTTTTTCATCGTATCAAAATGATACAACGATGGTTAGAACATCCCGTCCATTGCTCCTTTTTTAAAATGTACGCTTCAGTTCAAGCGGACATGTTGCAATGAATCCACATTGATAGCGGAGGAGGCCCACGCTTCAGTGAGGAGCCTTCGGTGAATCGCCTGAAAAACGCCACCAGGCTGCTGCAGTACGGCCGCACCGCCGTAGCGAGACTATCGGCTCCTCGCGAATAAGGAGACGGTGCCAGAAAGATTGCGGCTGAAGTCGCGAGCCGACAGCCCTCGCAACCAATGGGCCCTTTTATGAACAGAAGCCATTTTTGATCTTCAGGGTAAAAACAGGTCTGTGCAATTGATGAAACTGATGAAGGTCCCGTTGTCTTTAGTTCCACAGCCATTAAATGAACAAGACCAGGTCTCCAGCCCGCCTGAATGAAACGGGGCCCTCATTCAGTTACTCAATCACACCTGAGTTCACCCTGCAGTTACAGGGGCCGACGAAAGGAGGTGCTGCCAGTTTCAGGATTTCCTTTGATTGCGCAAATGACAGCAGGCAGTTCTCAAGGAGTGAACTCCCTTTGACGGAAATAACACCGCGAGCTGTAGCGCTCTGACGGATGCACAGTGTTGCAGACGTCTTTTCTACGCCAATGAGTCACAGCGCACGGCACATTCGGACTTCCAGTTTTTATCACCATCTGCGTTCTTTTCTTCCCTCGGCCCGATGTTCTTTTGATCAAACAATCTCTCGCAGCGCATCCTTTGATTCGCCGTAATGGTCAGAATCCGTATGAAAACCCAATTGGTATCCCAATAAGTGTCCAAACCCCATCATCTATGCAGGGTTATAATATAAACCCGATCCTCCTATCAGGATGATGAAGTGGGGCTGGCCTTCTGCGTGTCGGGCCGCATGCAAGAGCTGCCCCATCTTTTTCATTTTTTTTTATTGGATTTGGCCCGGTGCACTTGCATTCATGCTGGTGTTTATCAGTGGCAAATTGCTGTTTGATATCTAACTAATGTCAGCGGGGGGGGGGGATCCTTTCTTCAGTTACAGGAGCGTGGTGAAAATGGCGAGGGCCCCACCTCCCCCAGTCAGCCATGATGGATTGCTTTTAATATCGGGGGAAAAGCAAATATGCGCGGCGATTAAAGAGAGAGAGAGAGAGAGTTAGCTCCTCCTAGACCAGTTTTCTCCACGTGTTGCTCTCGAGTTGTCAGGCCTGACTTATGGAGCTGTTATTTCAAAAGTGCACGTTTGTGGAACGATTGGATGTTTTACTTTTGGGTTTTCAAATCTTGTAAAAGCTGCTTTTAGAGCTTTGTAAATGTACACCCACAAACAGGCGTATTTTTACATTCCCGTTGATTTAATTCTGATACTGTGAAAGTGTCTGGCTTTAAAAAAAAGAAAAGAAATCTCTAGGCAAAGTCAATTTACAACCTGTAAAACAAAAAGTTTCTTTATTTTTTTTCTAATCCCGGTTGAAGAACATCCCGTCTTGATCCGTGCCTTCAATCCCCCAGATTACCAGTTGCTAGGCTTTTTCTCTCACGTCGTGACTCAGATGGTTTGGTAACTGTTCTCCTCAGACAAAGGTGGCGCAAGCTGTGGCCACCAGAGGGCACTGTTGTAACACACACGGGGGAGTCCACTGACTGGAGGAGGCGCAGAGAAATGTCCGTCTTTTTGCGATCGCTCCGTTTTTAACTCCCCGGCTTCACAGAGAGCCGGTGGTTTCTTCTCTTATGTGCAACATTATCAGGCCGACAGCAGGGCTTTGGAGAAAAGGCCATGTTTTGTTCCTGTCCGTGCAACCTCTGTTTTTCTAGGTCTCCAAATGCTGTTTGCCGTGATGTAGGCCGCGCTGCCGAGAACAAACGGAGGAACACACCAACCCACACACGCATATTTTATGTTTCTACCCTTTTATTTTTCTACTCCCCTTAACTTTTACCCCATGTCTACACATGACCTTTATGCTAAGACCCCAACCCCGGCCCGAACCAAGGGACCCCTGAAGCAGAACGGACCATCACGTCTTGGTCCCCATTATGTGAGGAAAACAATACAACCACACGCACGCACGCACAGACACACACGGCCTTATCACGCGACTTCAGAGCTCTGACAGGCAGAAGAGGACCGATGGGAAAGCATTTAAACATCAGTCATGAAATTCCTCCGCTTTTGAGCCTCTAACAGTTGTCCTCCAAAGAGCGAGTTCTTTTCAAAGCGAGCGATCCCGCACGGCTCAAACTTTTCTTCCTTCGGAGAAAGGAATACATGACGGCAGTCACACTCATCCCGTAAGAGCATAAGTTTCGCCTCTTTAAAGCACACAATACGTTGCCAAGTTGAGGCTGTCAGCTCCAGTTAAAGCCCGCCACCTCCTTCCATTGTTCTCGCTGCTCTCTGGAAAGCACGTGGTGCGGAAAGCCGTCGACGGCGCTCCGTCACGTTTGATTGCGCACGCGATTCACCTCTGAATCAAACCGCGAGAAACGTGCCTCTCTGTTTACTTCCGAGAGGTTTCAGACTGTTTACATGCAAACAAGTGTGATGGAGGAAGCTCATTTGATTCAACCGGGAATGTCTGGATGTTCTGATGATCATAGTATACTTAGAACATCGAATATATTATGAAAAGCTAGTGTAGAGTCTTTGTTTAAACGATAAGAGGAAACAATCATTTCATTTCTAAATCATTAAACCTGTGTATATGTTTTTATCATGCCATTTGGTCGGTAAGATCTTCATTATTACAACGGCTTTTGATTATGAACAGTCGTAGCATGTCAGGGTTTTCAGTTTTTAGGAGAGATAGGTAACTATTGATTCTGGCATCTATATACGGATTCTATCGATACATACGTCATAACTGCAAAAAAAGAGCACTGTCTGAAAGCAATTAACAGCTGGTCTTTGTGATTTAACTATTGTACGCCCGCTTAGCATCTGCTGTATTTTC